AAGGTTATGTGTAAGACATGTTACCATATCCTTGCCCATCCTGCTGACCGCCACTGTGGAATATCTACTATGAATAGACACTATTTGCAAGGGATTAACTATCGGAAATTGGTGCCTTAGTCGCAGGATATTCGACGGCTGATACATAATGGGGTATGGATATCTCTATCTTTCCTCTGAACCTTTATCTTATTAAACCTCCTTACTAGGCACACTAGGCCCCTTAAAAAGCATCTTTCACTCAGCAAGCCTGGATGGAGAGGGTAATCACCTTCATAACTGCCTCGCGGCTACCATTCCAGCTTGTTAAGCATCCAGAATTTTGCGCCCTTATTGAAATGGCCTGGCTTGCTCCATCCTTCCCCGAAATCCCTTCTGTGTATGTCGTCCGCCAGCATCTTCAAGAATTGGTCGAAGAATGTTAATATACTCTGCTTCAGAAGCTTCTGGAGGGTGCCAAGCTCTCTATTGCATTAGACTGCTAGACCTCACCTTTTCACCAGGCCTTTATGGCAGTGACAGGCTATTTTCTTGACCAAGAGTGGAATTACAGTGAGCTCTTACTTGGCTTTGAACCCCTGCATGGCTCGCATACTGGGTCTTATCTGAGCACTATTCTATTCAAACTTCTTAAGAAATATCAGATTACTAACTGGGTGTTGACTATTACTACTAATAATGCGTCTAATAACTCTATGTTAATGGGTAGTCTTTAAGAGGCCCTTACATCTCTTGAGATTCCGAGCCATACACCCATTATTCATATGCCATGTATCGCACACGTTATCCAACTGAGTTTGAAGGAGCTACTCAGTGAGATGGAAGCGATCCCCCAGAATGATAGAGAAGAGATAGAATGGACTGAGGGAGAGAATAGGGCCTGGCGAGAGAACAGAGAGATTATGGATACTCTGAATAAGGTATGACTCTCTCTCTTCTGCTATCCTAACTACTAATCATTGTTTAGGTTCGACGGCTAGCAATCTTCATCAATAAAAGTCCCCAACGCTGAGAGAATTTTGTGGATCTTCAGATGAAAGAACCAAAGCTTGTCCCTATACAAGATGTTCAGACGTGCTGGAATTCAACATATCTTATGCTACGGCGGGCCAGGCGGCTACAGTCTACCTTTGACGAGTACTGCTCCCAGTATGGTCATCCTGATCTGAAGCTAGATAAGGATGAATGGCGACAGATTGACTATCTTCTATCTATCACCCAGCCTTTCTTTAAATTCACAACCTCTCTCTCTCAGACCACAGAGGTTACCATCCACAGTGTGTTTGCAATCTATAATACCCTATTCGCTCATCTTAAGAAGTCTAGGGCACAGCTTGCGCGTAAGAAGGTTGGCTAGAAGAAGGTGATGCTATCAGCGCTCAAGGCTGCGAAAATCAAGCTTTCAGAGTATTATAGCAAGACTGATGAGATTGATGGTGATCTCTATGCAATTAGGACCATCTTGGCGCCATGGAATAAGCTTGAGTTCTTTTCCATAAAGGACTGGGGGCCACACTGGCGGCCATGATATAAGAAGTCCCTTAAGGCTTATATTCAACCTTACCAGCATCGCTATTCAGAGACATAGTCTACATTAACTGCCCAGTCTTCAACAGGAGGCATCTCTGATGTTGATATCCTTGTGACATTAGCTGAATCTCTACGGCCATAAATAACTGCTAATGATGAGCTTTTGCAGTATCTTAGAAGTGGTAAGCTCTATCCTCCACCTCTTACTTCTCTTACACTAACCTCTATAGGTACGCAACTAGTGAATCCCTAGGTATACTAGAGGGATCATCAATATGAATACCCTATCCTGGCAAGCCTCACCTGAGACATTCTTACCACTCCAGCTAGTGGTTCTGGCGTCAAGCGGTTATTCAACTCTGCTTGGGATATCTGCCACTACCGCCGGGGCTCACTGAAACCAAAAATAATCAAGGAGCTAATGTTGTTTATGTGTACAACAAAGTTCGATATAGAATCTGAGCGGCTTTCCCTGATGGAAGAGTACCTTACTACCCAAGAAACGCAAATAGCAAAAGAGGAAAAGGACGCTCAGAAAAAACAAGATGAATTTGATCCTATCAGTGATGATGAGGATGAACCATCTGCTACTGGGGCCACATCTCAAGCTATTCAACCTTCTAGTGAGCGTGCGCTTGGGAAGAGAAGGGCTAAAGCTATCTCAGATGAGCCTAGGCCTCTAATTAAATTAGATGAAGTTGATGAGATTCCTCTACCTAACAACAGCCGCTTATAACAAGAGAGTAGTACTCAGAGGCGCTCATCAGGGCGGCTTCTAAAGTGTTTAAGCTGGGATGAAGATTTTGTGTATGAATAGCCATTGATCTAGTAGAGTTACTAATGAAAAAACCATTATAATCTAAACTTCGCTTATATTGCATTCCATCTGAGTATATCTATCTAATATTGAAACTAATCTGTAAGCAAAATACTTAAAAATACATATAGATTTTGCACAAAATATGCATGTCACAGGGATTCCTATGTTTGTCCTGTTTATAGGACCGCTAGTCTTAACCAGATTGCAGTGGTGCGGTCCTAAAAATCCTAGGACCGCACCGCGGTCCTAAGGTCTTGCACCAAAGACCGGACCGCAGCGGTCCAGTCCGGTTTGGTTTGCGGTCCTTGCGGTCCCATTTCGAGGCCTACTCTTGGGTGAAATTGGGTGAACCGTTCCATATGATTCTCAGATTGCTCACCAGTCCCGCTTAGTATTCGATATACCCCATGAGAAATGATTGCTTAGGACCCGACATTCCAGGTCCGACCAGTTCAACCGTGATAATGATTAAACGTAATTGGCATGGTTCAACATATTGAATCCCTCAGTATTAATGAAATAAGGTGGCTACTGGACCACGGCCATTCATTCAGTGTAGATGATGTTGTACTTGGGTGGCCTCTTTATAGGAGCCTCCAGACAGACCCCCCTTATGAGCTAGTTAATGGTCAGTGGGATAAATAACTGAGAAGGGTGGTACTTGATAATTTCCAAGCCTATAATCTTAAGAAAAGACTCTGGGGCCCTGGGCTGCAGTTGGCGACTACTAAGTAGAATGGTTAAGTTTTATTACTAAGCTTCAGAATCACTTTAATGGTGAAATTCCATAAACTAACATGCATCTCAATCTTCTTCATCTTTATAAGTCTTATGTTAGAGCATCAGAGCCCCAGGTCTCAAGGCCACCAGACCAGGACGTTGGTTTGAACAAAGATAATATCACATTTGAGATGAAAGCACCTCCATCTATTAGGAAAATTAATCAAGGAAAATTAATCAGCATACTCAAAAGCAAAGACAAAGAGATATAATATAACTAGGTGAATTGATTGATGTTCAGCTTTAGCATATCAAATTGCTTTATTACAACAAAGTTGGGCTTGTTGACAACCTTAATCATCATGATGCCCTCGACTTGTTCAAGCAAGAAGGCGAACTTGTTGAACACTTAGCTTCCTTCTATGAACACTCTCCCCACATTAAACATAGCGAAGAGGGACTAAGCATTACAAGAGCCTTGCGCAAGCTATTACTCCACTGTTATAGAGTCATGGCAATTTCCCACATGCTTCATTCATGCAAGCAAATCAATCAGAAGCTTAGTACAAGGAACACTAATTGCAATATCCTACTTGCTTAACTTGCTCTAGATTAGTTTCATTCTTCCTTTTTCTGTACTCCATCCCTAATATTACAAAGAGATTCAAAGAGGATTGAGGGTAGGAGGAACAAGTCTTTAATATTAATAAGGTTTAACCTGACTTAATTTTCATATTTAATTTATGCAAGGTTCTTCTATATACAGAGTATGCTAGCTGCCTAGCAAAACCGAAATAATCTTAATATATCAGTACATACAGAAGTGTAAGCTTCTCAGGCACACCAGGCCCGGATGAAGCAACCCTATCAGAGCATGGCCACCTAGCTGCTTACCAGGGATTATCACATTCTAGAACTGGACGCGACTATCTGATCCAACCCATCCTATGCTTTTGCAGGTGAGTTAGGTCCTAGTCAAGACAGGCTACCGGGATTTATATAAGCAGATTCTGTATTTAACACAGCATCTCTTATAATAGCCATCTTAAGAAAGACAGAAAATAGCTTAGCAAACTCCAGTCAGCCTAGTTCAATGAAATTCTAACAATGACCATATTACTGGGGTTGTCACTAAAGCCTGGACACTAACTAACAAGGTCAAATGATGTTGATTGGCAGGCAATGCTATGGAATTACAGCAGAGTAGTGATCTCTCCGACTCCCCGCACGAAAGCACCCGGACCAATTAAGAAAGGGCAGTTTGCAGTTTCGGAGGGGCAGGACGGGCTGTTTTGGCTGGGATAGAATAGTTCCAAGAAGATTACTAGGGATGTCGATTTTTGGCTGAGTTAGAAAAGGCTGTGTCTTGACGCGTAGGTACAATGTGGTGTGCAGCCCATGAGCGGGGCGTAGACCGGGCACTTCAGCTGGTGTCAGTCGACCAATGATCTCTTCCCTGGTAATGCGCGCACCCACTGCTTGAGTTTGAGATTATAGATTGAACCAAGGTGATGCAATCGTCATTTGAGTTGGGGGTGAGGTATAAACGATGGGGAGTCCAGGTGGCTGTCTTAGCTGCTTCTGCTTGACCGTTCTAGCCAATATCAACGGCTGTTCCCCTCCGTTTGCTGACGGTCATTGGGCTCCATCTTTTATGGCTGGCTGAGGAGGAACCAGATGGGGCGTTCTCTTCAGCTGCTTGACTAGGTGTGGCCCTAGTATGGACCTTGTATGAATCTCGTATCCACTAGTAGATTGACATGTTACCAGCAGTATCGAAGAATCCAGGGGCTTTAAAAACTGATGAGACACAGGACCCGTCGCCAAATGGATTGACTCGTACTCAAACCCATGCCTACCTGAAGGCCTAAAGATTGAATCTATTGTGGTCCGGCAATTTACCAACATCACTGCAAATCACTTCTAAACCATGGGAGACTCGGAGAACTCGGATTTCGCGGGATGGAATCAAGTCTTCACCTCGAACCTGACCCTCCTAAACCAGATCCATAAAACGATTTGGAAAGTGGAACACGGCCGCAAGGGTATCCAATGGTCAAGCAATGCGGTAACCAAGATAACGGGGGTGCAGAAAGAGGCCGGCACGTTCTCAGCAGGATTCCCGAAAGACTACTTGTGGTATACAGTGACCTTGCGCGAAGGTACCTTCGGGGATGTCAAGATCGACGAGTGGCACGTCCAGTTTCCGGTGTACTTTGGTATGTGGCGAGCACACCAAGTCAAGTCCTCCAGATGGCCCAGTCAAAGAAACTCTGACGTGTCGTCTTTATAGCGAAATATCAGCTGTCTGACGAGGAGGTGGCAGCCCATGCCGCCATCCTTGAGGATGGCGAGCTGACGGATCTGATTTCCTGGGGACTCACCATCAAGCTCGCTCCGGCGTACCTGGAATCCGACTGGAATTGTCCCACGTTCGATCCCACAGCGACCCAACCCCCATCCCCCAGCGAGATCGAACACCAGAAGGGGTGGGCCAAGGGTCAGGTAGCTTTCGACCTGGCCCGCTGGTTCTGGCCCAGCACCGATCACACGCCTAGGGATGCTGGTCCTCTAGGCTTGATCTTGAAGCTCGTTCCGGACCACAAAGGTACCCTGCGGATCTCCCTCACCTCCTTGTGCGGGACAGACGACTGACAGCCGACTGGCAGTGTCGGATGAGCGCTATCGTTTCGGACCTACGGGGTTCGACTGTCAAATTGACCCTGAAAACGGGCTCCTTTTGCTGCAAATCATGACCCAGAACCGCCCATTGCCCTCCACCACCCCGACCCTGAGCAGCCGGCCAGCGCTGAAGGACTACGCGGGTAAGCTGTGCGTCTCAAAAGAAGAATTCTGGGACGGGTGGTTCCTGCAGAAATACCGGCAGGTAGCCTATGACACGCAGATCTGGCCGATCATTCCCGATCAGTGGGACATTGGGTACAACCCTGATCATCCAGATATCGACAGCGAATATTACAATTTTACTCGAGATGTGTTTGGATCATATCAGTGGGAGACTGCGCTGCCTGAGGGTCTGCCCTCCTACGAAGAGCACTACGTCGGTCAGTGGTCAACCCACCCCTGAACTTATCTCGGGTTTGACAACGCTGAACAAAAAAAAAAGAAAAGACCAGAATCTGACCGTTCAATTTGTGAAGGGGAACATCCGACTCGGCGCATTCATTGGGGTTCGCCTGGAAGATGGAGGGAAATCTTACTCCTGGGTCTGGGACGCGTACTTCTGGGTGACCGAGATGGACACTGATGATGGTGGCCTGCAAGTCAAGATTGGGCCGGTGATGTGGGCTCGCCACCCTGAGAACGACACCCCGGACTGGTGTAAGAAGATATATGCGGCGATGGATAATGTAGTGACAAGCACGGTGACATCCCAGATGGCCAAACTCGCTGGCCTGAGCAACTTACACCGATTCTTCGTCCCGGGATATGACAACTTCAAGGCGCAGGACCCGGAGTTCAGTACCGCAGACCTGTATGTGGACCTTTTTATGAACGGGTGAGTTGGACCTCTTCCTTGTTGCCTTCTGCTGTCATGAGAGTCCGAACTAAGCAAAGTGTCCCGGACAGAGTCCCTTGCGCCCCTGTCAACGCCCCGAACTAGTAGATGTGTAGTGCGGGAATTGGTCGGGCATGGGTGTACTCGGATAAGAAGAGTACGGGCAATAGTTTCGAGAAGTTTGACGAAGTTTGACAATACGAGACTTTACCCCTCTTTCCTCAAATCCGTATGAATACGTATTGTATAGCACGGAGTGGTTGTGGTGTCTCCAGTCAGCAGCCACTTTCCGCCAGACTGCCCACCATGGCGACCGTCACTCAGGACGCTGAGCTCATGACGACGTACCGAGCCGCCGTGCCGGTGGTTGCGGGCGGCAAGTTCCTTGCCTTCCGGGATGGATCGTTGCATCCAGCTCTGGTCAGCCAGGGCGAGGATGGTTACTTTGTGGTATTGACGAACCCAAGTCGGGCCGGCGGAGTACCTATGATGCCGTCAAGTTCTTCAACCTGCCCGACTCGATTGTGGACTTTGAGCTGCGGCAATACGATGACAAGACCTCCTTTGTGTTCTCTACCTGGGCCTCGGACGACACATGCGGGATACATCTTTTCCATAGCCTGACTGCCGATGAACTGTCGGCGCCTCCTAAGTCCAAGACCTTTCATGGCACTGTCTCAAAGCCCAAACAGCTGTTCTTGGTATGGTATCTCCTGTCGTTTTCTGCTGGGTGCTAAGCTAGCCGGGTTGGGCTGGAAGGGACTGACCAAACAACCCGCGTAGAGTGAGATTGTCGATGATGATTCTCTACCGTCCCTTTTTATCTCCTGCGCCCGCCCCGGAAGGCCGGATGAGGTGGTTCTGCGGCCGGTCATGGCCAACCAGAGCGACCATAGCTTGAGGTCGAACGATGACTGGGCTCTGCGCGGGAACATCACAGATATCCTCGCTGTCACGGTTGGCGTCACCGAATTTGGGAAAGGAGTCTTTGTGCTTTACAACAGCCATGAAGAGCAGAAGCGGTTCCTCCAATTTCGCAACGACGTAGCGGACGGCGTTGATCAATTTCCCGTGGACTTTCCCGTTCATCCAAGTTTGTCAAAGGCCTTATCTTCTGGAGGAACAGGATGCTGACCAAAAGGAACAGAGGCTACGTGCCTGGCGACGTATAACAATCCAGAAACCGATTACTCGGCACTGATTCTTGCTGGGGAGGAGATCTCTCTGTACGTGGATAAACAGTACCTGACGCATGCCGCCAAACCGACAGCCACCGTGCCCGGCCCGCTGGGCGTTACCTCGATCCATGTCTCCCAAAAGGACGATCAGCTCAGCATCTGGTATACTAATGACGTTGAGGCCGCCTATTATTATAACACCACCCACAGGCACTTTGCGGACGGGGAGGCCATCCAATTTCTGCCCGGCCATGCCGGCCGCACGGTCTCGGGGATGCTGTGGGAGCACACTGAGCAACAGACCCTGGTGCAGACGCTGACCACCACGAACGATGATGGGCTCTTCACAGTTTGGCAACAGACTCAGACCACAGGGTACTGGGATGAACAGCCCTTTCACGTTGATGCGCCGGCAGAAGCCACACCCACAGACGCCTTCGTGATCCGGCTCCAGGCCCAAAACCCGGCGGATCCCTCGATTGTCCATCGATGCCAGATGCAGGTCACCACTGCGGACCTGTTGCAGTGCTATTGCAACGGGAAGTCGTCAGTGATTGGCCCCGTCGCCTCCTGGCACCAGGCGGATGAGAACGGGGTCCTCAACATCGTCATCCCCACGAGCAAGATCACCTGCGGAAACGTGAATGTGACCGCGCTTCGTCCAAGCAACGGTGGAGGCAGCATTCCAATTTCCACGGGCCCCTTGCGACCTTCCTCCAAAGTGCTGATGAAGTTGAACGCCCTCCAAACCGGGCAGGACATTCTCAACGCAAAGACCCAACTGGGAAGGCCCCTGGTCTCCCCGGGCTCCCTGACGTTGGAGCGGGCAGAGGAAATCGCTCTGGCGCTTTCAAAGTTACAGGAAGCCGCTGTAAACTTTGCCACTCAAGAGTCTGCCTCCATCGGTCCACTTGCGGCCGCCCGCCGGCCTCCAGTCGGTAAGTTCGGCTGGTTCCGTAACCTGTGGAATAAGGTTGTCGGCTGGGGCCACAAGGCAATTCACCAGATCAAAGTCTGGGTGGAGAAGGTGGACGAGATGAGTAAGTGCTCTCCCCAATTGTGTTTATCTGAAATGAGATCCTTTATTGATTCTTCCGACTTACTGACTGTCCAGTTCCGAACGGACCGTGGAAGATCGTATTCCACTTCTTCGAGGAGCCAGTGGAAATCCTGCTGGATGGCTTTGATGCCGTCTTGATAGCAATGGATTTCGTCATGAACCTCCTCCAGACTGCCTGGGATTTGGTCAAAGAGTTTCTGGCCAGATATCATCCGTACGGCTCACAGCGTCAAGGCCTGGTTCGATTCCGGCTTCGACTGGGCGGCTGAGAAGATTGACGATTTGGATCACCTAGTCGACAACTACTGCCAGGAACTTTCCAACCGGGTCAAACATGTGCCGACCATTGATTCCGTATCCATGAAGTCAGTGACCGACGGGGCAAACCCGCAGGTGACCGAGCTCCAAAACAGCGTGAAATACGACTGGGAATTCAATATCTTGCTGTACGGTGCGGATGGCGATTCATTTTCCGGGGCATCATTATCAGCCGACGCAATCCATCCTGGTGATGTGGGTAATATGAGTGCCGTGGGAGATGCCTATGAGCTCATCAAAAAGCTCCTCAAAGACGTCCAAGGTACCTTGCAGGATATATTTGGAGATGTGACGCAATGGTTCTCGACTGACATGAGCATCACCGAGATCTTCAAGCGTCTGGGTGCCGATCTCTTGGACGGCATCGTGCATGTGGCAGCGGACCTCGCCCATGCCCTTCTGAAAGCGATTAAAGGCTCACCACGCTGCACAGCTGGGCAGATAAAGAGCTGGTATTTCCCATCATAACCGAGCTCTGGAGGAAGTTGACCGGCGAACCGTTGTCATTTGCCGGAGTGATCTCCTTCGTCGTGGCCATCCCCATGACGCTCCTCAGCAAGCTTCTCACCAAAGCTGCTCCTCCCGACCTCACCTCTCTCACCAAGGATTCTTGGAATAACCATATCTCCCATGGCCCCTCCGCATCATCCACTATCCTCGCCGTCGATGCCACCGCCCTGACATACTTTGGCAATCTTTTGTCCATGGTGTCCTCGGATGTGAGCGGCTTGGCGAACGGGGTCGTCAGCGGCCTAGACGTCGTCAAAGCCGCAGCGGCGTTTGACATCATCCCAAATGTGAACTTGTTCGATCTCATCAAACTGGTTGTGAAGTTCATCACCAAGGTTCCTCCCTGGAGTACCCCTTGGGCTGAATCTCGTATGACGACGGAATATTGCCTTGTAGGTTTCAATCAAATTTTTTTCTTGTCTGCTCTCTCCCTGGGTATTTCGCTCACAAACCCCTTCCCCTCTTTTAGGTCTACGGTGTCGGCATCGTGGACTATGTCCTCCTAGGAATCTGCATGGGTGCCAGAGCGGGAACAGGAGTACCCCACGACGACATGAGCTACTTCTCCTCCGCGGGAGCCGTAAGCTGTACGACTCTGACCCTGGCCCTGCGCGTCATTATCGGCGTGGATGAGCTGGACTATGCTGAGAAGTTTGCCATCTTCCACTTCGTCGAGGCGGGCTTGTAGTGGGTCTCTGACGGGGCCGGTTTTGTCTCGGCTGGCTTCACTTTGGCGGAGCAGCCGTATGTGTCAGCTGGGTTCACATTGTTGAGCTTGCTTGCGCTTGACTATTCACTCATTGCCACGGGGGGAGAAATGGGGGAGAAGTATTTGAAGTAGATTGTGCACTTCCAGAGGATGCCAGTATAGTCCATTGTTGGATTAGCCAGATGGGGAGGGGCTACGATGCACATGGACTTGGGACTTCAGACATGGTGCCGATCTCGTCAAAATCAAGCCCCTGATGTTTTTGCTTTCGGGCTTGTACTATGGTCACCCTTGCTATCAACCTTGTTCTTCTCGATTGCTCATGCCCCTTTAGATGACTTATGTGATGGTTAACGAGATGGTCTTTCGTGTAACGACGACGAGCTAAGATCCGCGGACTCGTGGCGTCAGATCCTTCGCCGGCATATATCTATTCCATCAACAGATAACAGATGATGATGGTGGCTGTATGTTCTCGGTTTTTCCTGCCGCCGCAATGATTTGCTTCACTCGACAAGCATATCACAGCATCTCATTGATCAGTCTCATTTTAAGCTGGCCTAGACTGGTAATCTGATCGCAGGCAAGCCAATATGGCGGCCCTCCAAATCCGACAAAACCGAATTTTTGCAAGGTAGTAGTCCTCTTTTGTGCAAGAAATTCCCGAAAGACCATTGCCTAGGCCCGGAGCAAAGATTGTCAAAGTGCGGGATATATATCGCCTCGGTCCATCGTCATCTCACAATTGACTCAATAGTCAACACTCTTCAGCAATAGAGCATCAAAGCCTCACTCAAGCCCATATTTAGCTTATTTAGTAGTAGTCTAGTGCCTAATAGATCAACCTAAATATGATTTGCGTCTCGGACGAAGCTAAGCAAAAGCCGAGCGATCGCCGCTTCGGCCGAAAGAAAGGTAGACCGTAGACCCGGAGATTGAGAGACTAGACTCCCTTTTTGTTTCATCTTTCTCGACAATTGCCTTTGTTTGTGGCAACTGCGAGTCATAGACACATATTTATTTAAGCCTGAGCCCAGCGAGGCGTCGTGCAATTGAGCGCATCCAGCACACATCCATGTCTTGTTCCCGGGTCTTCGGTTTCCGCACTCTTTCCAGATTCAACCCAACCTTGAACCGCTTTGCTTCTTCGTACAGCAAGATGGGCGAGCATATTATTGACAGATATCAACTCCAACCACTGCATTCGGACTCTGTACCGTGGCGCCGACAGCCAGGCCAGCAGGTATTGTGGATTGGCTGCTCGGATAGCGGGTGCGATGAACTGGAGACATTGGGCCTTCCTTCAGATGAGGTATTCGAATATAGGAGTTTGGGAAACATGATGGTGGACGACCTATCTTGCAACACGACCCTGCGATATGCTTTGGAGTCTTTGAAGGTGAGTTTGTTTCCCCTAGGAGAGGCCGCGTCTAACATCGGCCAGATCCGGAATATTGTGATATGCGGACATTATGGGTGTCATATAGCAAATGGAGAAGCGAATCCCGGTTTGCAAAAACCTTGGAGCAGGTAATAGCCATCAATACCTGTCACTATGGTTATACTGACGGATAAGTATACTGGACACTCTACGCTCGAGTCATCATCACACTCTCGACAGTCTGACAGGAACCGAACGTGACCGCGCGCTGGTGGAGTTGAATGTCCTTGAGCAGGTGCACTCGTTAAGCCGGTCGCCTGAGGCTGCAGACGCTGTGCAGAAGCACCAGCTGAATATCTGGGGCATGGTCTACGACAAGGCGTCGAGAACAGGTTACCACTTAGTAGAAGCAGAACGGTGATCACTGATCGGCGATCTACCTGTCGTTCAAAGACAACATGAGTATCATCAGATCATATATACAGTTGAAAAGTAACTCAGTAGCTGTAGATTCATCCGAGTAAAAGTGACTGAGAACTTCCAGACCAGTTGGCAGACCTATGCCTCAGGCATACCACTACGCCCCACACGACGAACGCCACAATATTTTACATCATCAGGCCACCCTCTGTACCCCACAAATATTCGCGGCGTACCATTACCTTTCCTCAAATCATCTGAATCAGTTTTTCTCACTTGTTCATGATGGAGCCTTCCGACCAAGAACGGGACACTGTCCCGCAGTATCTCAAACAGTCGCATGAGCGTATCTTCGAGAACAATCGCGCCTGGGTCGCGACAAAGATGAAAGAGGACCCCGCGTTTTTCGAGAAGCTTTCTGCAGGGCAGACCCCTGAATACCTGTAAGAGAACACAATGGTCCTGGCTATCTTGTCTGACAGAACCAGGTACATCGGCTGCAGTGACAGTCGCGTCCCAGCCAACGAGATCATGGGGCTCGAAGCCGGAGAGGTCTTCGTCCACCGGAACATCGCGAATCTGGTCCCCAACACGGACCTCAACGTGATGTCCGTCATCAACTACGCCGTCCGACATCTGCAGGTCAAGCACATTGTTGTCTGCGGCCACTACCACTGCGGCGGGGTCAAAGCCGCGCTGACGCCTTCGGACCTGGGGCTCCTCAACCCCTGGCTTCGGAATGTGCGCGATGTCTACCGTCTGCATGAGCGGGAGCTGGATGAGATCAAAGATGCAACTGCCAGATACAAGCGCCTCGTGGAGTTGAACGTGATTGAGTCCTGTAGGAACGTGATCAAGACGGCAGCGGTGCAGCAGAGCTTTCATGAGCGGCAGTTCCCTGTTGTGCACGGCTGGATATTCGATGTGGAGACTGGTCTTCTCAGGGACTTGGCGATTGATTTTGAGGAGACTTTGCGGGATATCAAGAAGATATACAATCTTGCGCCGGGTTCGTAGCATAGCATTCGTGTTTGCGAGCACGCACAAAATTGCTACATTTTCAGGGTTTCACCTTGGTTAGTTCAACTCCAGTGGTAGAACTTACAGTAAGGATCTTGATTTATATCCGGAAGTAAACTTGCTTGATCAAAATCCAGCACCTTAACACCGGATTCCTAACCTCGACGCTGACGTGAACTTTACATAGACCAATAAGAGCACAAGAGTCAAGAACAGGCTAGTAGACTAAAAGAGACATTGTAAAGCCAGTTAGTGATATTCAGGCATGCATCTCAACATCCGGTACCGCACACAAGTTCAAATAATCATCGACGCTAATACCAGACACTTGGCTCAGGTAACTGTTCATGAACTACCGAGTAGTGTCTTAATTCTAGCCGAAATCGGGTGGTTGCTAACTATTTTACTAAACTGATTAATGAGACTTATTAATTTGCAAGGAAAGCTATAGCCCCGCAACAGGTTACGGAGATATTCTCCGTAATAACTGTCTGGGGTACCTATCTGAGCTGACCTGATTGTCTACTTATAAATACAAATCAGTAGACAATAACCGTTGAATACTAATAGAATACAGAAGTAGTATCATGTATGTCTAGGGACAATGGGAGGCCTATTGCGCCAAATGAGCCACACTTGCCTCGTGTCACACGTCCTGACCCTGATATTCGGATATTCGAGTGCCACGTCAAACAGGGATAATCTTTGTGTCACTCCAACTGCTCGTGGATTACAGGGAACGTATCGGCAGGATGTAGGTCGCCTAATATGGAATACAAGTGCCCGGTGTCTGAAGAAGCGAATATACCTGAGATCCCTAAGTTGCATCTGAGACCCTACCGAAGTGGAGGTCTGCATCATGCGTAGCGAGCGATCTACACCAACCCTGGCCAATTATACTCAAATACGACTCTGCATGATATTGAAAATATCCAGTTTCGGGTGAAGATGGCAGGCATGGCCTGCATGAATTTTGTCATGGCCGCACAGCCCTCTTCAGGCACATATGAGCCTTAACTGATTGGGTTCAACTTGTTGAAGACATTCTCAGGGTCGTATTTCTTCTTGACCTCGACAAGGCGCGCTGCATTCAGGCCGTACATTTCTTTGGCTGTCTTGCCGGCCTCTAAAATTCGTCTATTTAGTGTGCGATAAGCAGAGGGGTGTGACGAGAGGGGCCATTCAAGCAAAGAAAACTCACCCTTAGTGTAGCCAACAAAGTTAGATACCAACTCGTCTGGCTCGTGACCGATGCGGCGCATTTCCTCTCGACACAACTGCTGCACACTCTCTCCCCACGCGAGGATTTCATCATCCTTACCAGCGCTCGACCATTGAAGAAGCATCGACGCCTGGAGGTGCTTGGTCCGCTGAGGAAACGCAGTCTCCGTAATGGGTACTCGGGATAGCACCTCGGGATCGATAAAGTCAATGTCGATTACGCTGTGGGCCATCTCTGGCTCGGCTTTGATCTGCGTCGCCAGCGCTTCCATCACCTTCCTAACAGTTTCGGGCTGAACGACCGGTGCGAATTGCAGCCCCAGCAACTTCTTGCGACCCCCTGGCGGCATCATCGGATCAAGGAGACTGTTCGCTTCCGCCAGAGACCGCATGGCAATATCGCTAGCCAACGAGGGAACCTCAAGAAGAGAGCCGAAATGCCGTTCCGCCTCCTCCTCGGTACCATCGAAGAACAGCACCGCGCTGATGACCGGTTGTCGCGTCTCCAGGGACACTCCCAGAACACACTGAGCCGCAGCCTTGCCGCGGGGATGCCGCATTACGTGATTGAGGCTCTGAATAACCTCACACAGATGTTGACAGGCGAACGTTCGGATGCCACTCCAGACCAGCGGGCGGCTGGGATACGCCTGGAACGTCATCGAGGTCACGATTCCCAGATTCGCCCCGGCGCCCCGGATCCCCCAGAACAGATCCTGGTTTTCCTCAGCCGACGCGGTGAGAACCTGCCCTTGACCCGTGACCACTTGCGCCGAGAGAAGATTATCGGCGACCCAAGCCGTACTGCGGAGTGAGGTATCATCCGTATCCGCCACGAACTGTGAGGCCCCCAACACCGACATGGCTTGCGGTGCCACTGACGACTGCAAGGTTAGCCTCTGCAATGGCACGGTGCACGTCGGCCCATAGAGCGCCGCCTTGGACAGTGACTGTATGGTTTGACATATCCACATCGACTTGGTTCATTCGCCGAAGGTCGATGAGGATCCCTCCGTCAGTCGATGCAGAGATATCGGTCGAATGTCCCCCGCATCGAACGGCCAGGTCGATACCACGGTCCCTCGCGAAGTTGACCACTTGTGCGACTTTATCAGTGCTTTGAGGAAGGATTGCGACGCCCTGGTATCATGATTATCAGTCTCCATGGTATGGCAAGGCGACGCGAAGGTACGTAAAGCTGACTGATAGCCAATGTCTGACCATCGCATCATGCTACGGTCAAAATCGGGGGAACCTGGAGGAAGGATACTCTGATGATCCCCAACCAGTGCATTCAGCTCTTCTGTGAATCTTGCGAGCCATGGAGAGCGTGAAAGTCTTCAATCTGGGGACAATCGAGAAAGCCGGGTAAAGTAAGCTGAATTGGCAGTTGCCTGCTCATTCGTAGAACCTGATGCCCGGATGGATGGTAACCTGTCTATATACGTTCAGAGTCAACGTGTACTCTCCACGGTGACTCAATACCATGTCGTCATACCAGGCGTATGCAGCCTATACTGGATCTGAACTCTTCGTGGCCCAGAAGGCTGTATTCCACCTTTCCCTGGAGGACGAAGAGAGATCTGCGTCAGCAGAGCGTTCATATCGGGTTGCACCAATCTCGATGCAGTACATGATCATGCCAATCTCAAGGAAACCTGGAATATGTTCATAGTCACGCTCTGGGAGTTAGGAAGAAGCACAACACACTGATATTGCGTACACAGGCAGATGACGGCCTGGGGTACGGAAGTGCATAGATCGACGGGTATCTCCTAGGCCTGTAAGCCCACGTAGTCAAGCTGCCACCCAATGAGGAATATGTATGATCATCAACCGAGCGCATAGACCCTGTGAACAACTTGTTCACTGCAAGACTTCCCACATTAGGGTTTGCAAAGATGTAACTGTGTAACCAGAAGTCACTTGTTTCGTCGTCGTCCGCGCGTAGCAAGTTCATTGCATGCATGAGAAAGTCTATTTCGTCGTTCCAGCCAGAGGGCATCTTTCACTGAACATGAGAAATCACCAATGGATTCTTCCAGACGCAGACGATATACCGGACTGTGGCAACACACCAACAGGTGTCCTGGAGGGGGGAGAAGAAACTATCTTCGGATGCTACCACACGAATCGTTTGCCATAGGCACTCCCTGGGCCTCTTGATCACGTAAAGCATGATGTAGAATCCCCCTTTGCTTCCTGTGGTATGCACTCATATGACCCCTATACACACTTTTCCAACTTTCAGATCGAGCAGCGTGTATCACGGCTGGGCTGATGAACGGTCCAACGAAGGAGGGAGATGGCGACATCACTCTCCTCTTCTGCTGCAAGATGACGAGGGAATGCTCGTGAAAAGGTCTTAGTACGAACACAGACACGGAGCAAAAATCTCTCAAGATGGGTATAAAGCAATAGCCTCGTCCTCTGCCTTCTCACCATCAGAAACCGTCTCTCAAAGCTATTTCTTGCGTTGAATACCAACTAAAGGTTGTCACAACTCTTACTGCAAGTCGCTACAATCCTTGACATTCCGTCAAAACCATCAAAATGGAAGCAATCCTCGTCCAGAAAGCCAATGCGGCCCCCGATTCCACTGCAGTCGTGGATGGTGACCGCAGCATTAGCTACCGGGAACTAATCGCGCGGGCCGACGTACTTGCTGATCTACTAGACCAGCAGTCTCTGGAGCCCGAAAAGCCCGTCTGCATTCTGGCCGACGCTGGGCTCCCCCAGGTCATGGCTCAGGTTGCGGTCCTTCGTGCAGGAGGCAGCTGTGTCCCCATCAATCCGGCCGTGCCCGCGGACCGCCTCAAGGGGATGCTGGAGGACCTGGACACCGGATGACAGCCCTCATCACCCCCGGATTCGATCTGTCCGTCTGCGAGATGTGGGGAGCACTGCTGGCGGGGGCGACCATCGTTCGAGTCCCTGATCTGGTGCGTGCTGATCCATTCGCCCTGCAGGATTTTGTGCATGAGCACAGAATCACTGTCATGATTGTGCCCACCGCCCTGTTCCGTGTTGTCGCGCTCACCGCACCCGCCACCTTTGGCGGACTGCGCCATGTCGTTGTCGGGGGCGAGGCGGTCAGCTCCAATGCCATGCGCAAGGTCCTCGAGACCGCACCTCCGGAGAATCTGTGGAATTGGTACGGTCCCGCCGAGGCGACCATCTATGTGACGATGGGCCGGGTGGATCAAGAGGAGGTTCAGCGCCCGCGTATCAGTATTGGACGGTCTGTCGGAGACACGAAGATCTATCTCCTTGATGATAACCTAACGCCTATTGCCGAGCCAGGGCGCACTGGGGAGATCTGTATTGCGGGACCTCAGGTGTCGCCGGGGTATTTGAACCGTCCTGATGAGAACGAGAAGAGTTTCGTCCTTATAGACGCAGCCACGTTGGGTGTCTCGTCCGATGAACCCGTCCGGGTCTATCGAACGGGCGACCTTGCTCAGTGGAGAGACGACAGTGGTGTCCTCGATTACATTGGCCGAGCTGATGACCAGGTCAAGGTCTCGGGGTATCGGGTAGAGCTGGGGGACATTGCATGCTGCATTGAGCAGCACCCACAGGTCCACTCGTGCGTTGTCAAGTTCGATCAGAAAGGCGATGTGGACTATCTCGAGGCATATGTGATCCCCGCCGACTGGGACAGAGATTTTCGATCCGAGGAGCTAATTGATTGGGCGAAAGAGAGGTTGCCCTCGTACATGGTGCCAGGCATGGTGTACAAAAAGCGCAGCTTCCCCTTATCCGCGAATGGAAAGGTTGATAGGAAGGCACTGCAGCCGGACAATGGTGACGAGCAGCCATGCGATGAAGAGAGGGGAAGCCATCCGAAAGATACAACTGAGGAGGTAACAAGAGTCGACAACGGTGAGATGGAGGACTTGGCAGACTATCTCGCATCAATACTTCAGGAATACCTCCCTAAGTCGGAGACTACTCCTAGCGATAACTTCTTCTCCCATGGATTGACCTCCCTGCAGGCTGCTCGACTCCTCGGACGGATCAGGCAGGACTGCGGCAAGAGCATCACCCTTGCCCAGCTCCATCAAAACCCAACGGTCGAGCGACTTGCCAAGTTCATGGCTGGCTCGGTCGGCAAGAATACCGAACAATCTGACTTGGAGCGATGGGCGCAGGATTCCAAGCACCTGGACATTGATCTCCTGCCTCCCGACTGGCAGGCAGAGGACGAAGGCCGCGTGTTCCTCACCGGTGGGACAGGCTTTCTGGGTGCGCATGTCCTCCATCAGCTCTTAAGCATGCCGTCAGTTCGGAAAGTCGCCTGCCTTGCACGAGGGCGGGGTGACCTCAGTGCCAGCGCTCGTATCCAGCAGACGCTGGAAAAATATGACCTCTGGGATGGTCGACTGGAAACAACCCAGAAGATCATGGTCCTGGAGGGCGACCTGGGGGATAACACCCTCGGGCTGGGGGAAGAACAGTTCAAATGGCTCACCGACTGGGCGAGCGTCATCTTCCACGTCGGTGCACGGGTCAACTGGTGCGAGCCGTACGAGGCGCACTATGTGCCAAATGTTGTGGGCACGCGGAACGTCATTCGTGCGGCGATGTCGGGCCGTCGCAAGGCCCTGCACTATGTCTCCTCAATCGACGTCTGGACCGTCACGGGATATATCAACAAGGTGGAACGCGTCTATGAGGATGAGCCGCTGATGCCGCATCTGAATGCCGCCCCGTATGATACGGGATACTCGGCCAGTCAAGTCGTCGCCGAGGAAATCGTTCAGCGAGCGCGAGCCAGTGGTCTCCCGACTGCAATCTACCGACCTGGGTTTATTATCGGCCACAGCGAAAAGGCCATTGCGAATGAGAACGACTTTTTCTCCCGGCTGATCATGGGCAGCATCCAGAGTGGCTATTTCCCTCATCTCCCGACCCAGCGCCTGGAGTACGTGACGGTCGACTATGTCACAGCGGCTATTCTACACATTGCGTCCAGCCGGGACAATCTGGGTCGAGCATATCACATCGTGCCGCCGGACAGGTCCCGGTCAGTCGACTACGAGCAAAAGTACAAAATGCTGCGCGACCTCGGGTATCCCGTGCAGATGATCGAATACAGAGGATGGGTGGAGAAGATCCGTAACTCGCCCGAAAACACACTGGAACCGATGATGCCGTTGCTCGACGAGCCTGTCCATGGGGACTTGAGCCGGCTGCAGACGAGCAGAAACACTCCCATCTACGACCCAACGAACACAGCACGCGCGTTGCAAGACCGTCCGGATATCAAGTACGTTGCTCTCGATGGACATTTGCTGCAGCAGTTTATCCGCAATTGGGTGAAACGAGGGCAATATCGTCTCGACCATCATTGTAAAGGCTGTTTCGACGAACAAAAGTGAGGGTACACAACCGGGGAGAGTTGACTTCTTAATGTCTGTGGTCCTGTTCTGAACTCTGATACGTGTGCCTACAACATAAAGACAAAGCATACAAATTAGTTTGAGCATGAGTTCCGCACCATTTGTAGTCATATCGAGTCTAGTTAGTTTCCATTCGTTAATATCTTCCTCTTTTCACTCTGAGAGTGAAACGCCCATTCGTCCACCGTAATTGAAACCAGACACCGGTTTGGCACCATCGTTGCATTCTAGAATCGCTGAAATTGCCACTGACATTGTCTGGGTTGCTCAAATCGCTCACTCGGCCAGGGCAGCAAATAGATCGAGTCATCTCATCATACCCCCAACCGTAGCTAGTAACGGATCAGCCTCCCTGCATTATCATGCAAAGGCTCGCTCCAGGAGATGGCTGGGTATCCCATGGATGAAGACACCCTTGTTCCTTCAGTTTCATGAGCAGTTTTTATGGTGACATTGCTGAGTGGTGTTGTAGATTCATAGAGAATCCGAATAGACGTTTTAGTAATCTCAGTCAGACGATTGCTCGTTTGGTCAACCATTATGATAAACCAGTCTGACAGAACAGGAATACAAGAAACATCTTTTGATTTATTTAATATCAGTATCTGCTTGAAGTCGCCGCTGTGTTAGCCATCTCAAGACAGCATCAGTAATAGCCTTCCCTTAACTCTTCATGCTTGGCATCTAAGACTCTTGGGAGCTCTCATAGCCAAAGCACCACTGCCATCAATACTCTCTGCAGCCCCTGAACAGTCCCCAGCGCTGCAACCCCGGTCATCAGTCGTTTCATCATTGTCACAGAGAGCTTGGAGCTTACCTGAAGAAATCACAGTTTCCACTGGAGGTGACAAGAAAGTTGTAGCTTTGGGAAAGATCAGTAATCTATATAGCCAGTGGATCAGGACGCGACGACATACTTTTTCCCCTTGGCTAACTCAAGCGGGTTACAAACACCGTCTTGTGCTTGGACATAAGTGCTTTTCCACCGGGTCATTCCGCTGGGGTCGATGTTTGTGTATTCTAGGGTGACTGAAGGGTACTCGAGATTTGCAGCAGACTAAACAATCAAACCCGAACTTCGTTAGTACGAGAGCTGAGAAATAAGTGCATCTGGATTTCATACTATGTTTTGGTCTGCAGCAGCCATGACAAACGCAAAGGCAAAAATGATGTTGCTCAAATGCATATTGAACTATGTGAGGACTTGCAGAAGCATCTGAGTTGTTTCAGTATTGGATTTGACCCTGAAAAGGTGCCTTGACCATGAACTGGCGACAAAGAGACAACTTGTTATATTTATTCAAACAATATGACCTATCAAAGAAGGACATATCACTGGAGACATTTTGCATCCCTTACTTGAGGTGGGCTGATTCCTATTATTCCCAAGTTTCCTCCTCCTTACTTTCCTATATTATTATATCCCTCTTTTAATTTCCCCTTGTTCTTATTTCATATTGTTTCAGGGCCACTGCGTGTGTATGCATGTGTGACTAGTACTTTCAGCCATGCCTTCCTGTGTGAGCTGCCCACCAAATCACTTACTGTTATTAGTTTAGAACTGTGTAAGGCTTGCCAGGGTGATCCGCGCAGATGGCTAGAAGCTTCCATGCAACATAACACAGCCTAAGATAATCCCAAACAAGGTGCAGAAGGCTGATGTTGTCTTGGCGCAGGTATGACCCTCCCTGATGACCTGTCATCTGTGAGGCTATGAAAGCTAAAATACATGGCAGGATGGTATGGCGGGTTAAACCAGGGATTTATTCACAGTTGTCTAGTGTAAGTAAAAAATGTTGTTTATCTTTAGCCCGAAACTGCTTAAGGTTCGCCTAGGTAACGGAACTGGAATATATCACCAGTTGTTCCATACGAACCCAGAGGTGGAACATCCTTCATAGGGCCTATGGGGTTGCCTTGAGGATCAAAGATCTCCACGCGGACAAGATCGCGATTCGCAATGTAGATCTTGTCTGTTGGGAAGGCATGTGTGAACTTGAAAGTACAGCTATTTGCCCAGTTCGTTGTGCATAGTTCGGCCTTTTGGGTTACCCCAGGAACTGGAGGCTTCGCACCCAGGTACATGTTGGTCTTCTTGTTCCAAACCACATATTGGAAGCCGGGTTTGAACTATGCAGATGTTAGGATGACGGTGATGCAGGCTGGTGCAGATTCAAGATACATACCCTGTACCGGACTGTTTTTCCATCGTAGACTTCATAGAACTTTGTACCAGCTTGGAAGATTTGCGAATCATCATCGATGGATGCATTCATTTTGACGGAATGAGATGAGGCAAAATTCCGGGCGGATTCTTTGAGTAATTCACTCAGGCGTGGGGTCAAGTTCGAGAAAGCTGAACGTGTATAAGTATTATTTTGTCCATTCAGAATGAGATGACTGTACTGACCATTGTCTATGGTAGGTGAGGCGTTTTCGCAGACGGTTGGATATAGGAACTCATTAGGGTGCTTCAACCAAAATGTCACCCAGCCGTCCCAGTCGTTCGGGACAGGGTCAGGCGTTTTTGTTACTTCGCTCTCCTTGAGGGGGGCCAAGCGATTGAACTTTTGTTTGACGTATTCATATCCCGGAATGAGTGATATCATGTCTTCTATGGAAAGGAGATCATCTTGCTGAAAGGATTATTAGCACTGGCGCGGCTTGAGTGAGATTGACAGCAATCAGAACTGACCTTCGAGATCCTCCAATTGTAGTAAGACGCCACAGTACCGCACCAGGCAGGGGGGCTGTGTAAGAAACGTCAGTTGGGGATAAGCTCAGACGAAGCGTCTGCAGAGGAACCCACTTGTTGCACAATAAAGTATCACCTCCCTTGGCCTCCCATGTCAGATTGTTGCTCAAGCTGCTGTTCTGGCGATTCGAGCTATGGTTGTTTGAATTCTCATAGCTACCACTGGCAGAGCCTTGAGCATATGTAGATGAGAAGGAGGCGGCAGCAGAAATCTTCAGTGCCCGAGCTCTTTCTTCCACCTTGCCCTCTGCAAAGGAATCGCTACTCTCTGAGGAATGGAGTCGTCCCCCTAATTCAACACGGGACGCAAAGAAAGTACCGTATTTTCTTCTAAAAAACTGCACTCCCTCTTTCGTAGATATGGTCTCGAGGTCTTCCTTGCATTCATCTGAGATATCAAGGCTATCTCCATCAAGCTCGAGGACAACTCTGGGAAACTACGAGGTGAGGGTTCTCAGCAAGGGCATTGAAATGTGGATGCCAAGGTAACTCACATTATAGGTAATCGTCATGCGCTTCGAGTCCGAAGTCGTGTTGGAGGCTGTTTTTGTGTCCTCCTGCATTTTGTATCCGACCTTGACACCAGCAGTGACGCCAAATGCTCCTCCCCCTCTGCATTTCTTAGCAAAATGAAGCCCGTAGGATTTGTGCGTTCGTGGGAAACTTACACAGAGACCTCAGCTGAATGTTCAGAGAGCGAACTGTCGGCAATTGCCTCTGCAACTGAAGTCTTATTCTCAGAAACATTGATGTAAGAGTCATCTTGGACGAGAAACCTAGGGATCCTCAGGTGATGCACCTGGTCATGGTCCAAGGATCAGCAGAAGCACAAAGAATGACCACAAGATGGGAATGCATACCACAGGTTCGGTGTCGCTAGCTGACGGGGTCGCACCACCCTTCCCACCGCTGTTGAAGACAATTTCGAAATCATGGAACTTGCGTGGCTTCAATGCAAAAGCTGTTGCACCAGTCAAGCATCAGTCCCGAATCAATCAAGCCCGTGAGGTTCTGAATTCACGCACCAGGGTACATGGCACGTTCGACCTTTCTCTGGCCATTGGCAAGCTGCCTCACATAGTTGCCATGGAGAATTGAATTGTTCTGCAGGACGATGTACCATTCTCTCTCCCCCATGTCCGCCGGATGTCTAATGATAGTTTGCCTCAGTCTCAGTAAATACTCTTCGCGGGGGCCAGTATCTTACGTGATGGTTTTGCTAGCCAGGGCCATGAAATTGCTGTGATTGTAAGAACTCGTAAGCTTGTTGACATCGGCTGATGTCAAGTCCGGTTTCTGAGTACAGCGTTCAGTATAAACAAGCATTTGCGACAAGGACGGAGCACATACATTGATCGACAGGTCTAACTTCTCCTTGAGGAACTCTTTCGTGCTCTCGTCCAACTCGGTTGGGAATTTACGCAGCTTCAAGTAAACCTTGTATGATTTGCCCGTGTTTGTTTCCCGAGTGATCTAGCAGCGCGCCATTAGCATAGTACTTGGTTGACAATCCAGGGGGCATACTCACTGGGTGACCATTGTTGCCCTTTGCTCTCTTGCTTCCATTCTCTTCATTCGATCCATCTCCATCGTTGGGCTTCTCCTCGCTGCTCTTCAGAAAGTCCAGGTACATATCAAAGCTTAGTTTATCGTCCACTTCCGCTCCCTCGTCGTTGCAGAACTTGCTGGACTTTCTATCCAGGAGTTATTATGGGTCTCTAAGTCATACCATATAGGTGGTCCACTTACTGTCTCCAGGACAGGGCGTTCTCGCTGATCAAGCTCTTCCGAATATCGGCCAAGGATGTGTCCTGGACATTCTTGATGCTGCCGATGGTGACAAACTTTTCCATCTGGCTTGTCTTGGACACGGTATCAAATAAGTAGATATTGAACATCGCTTGGCGGTCGGTCTCGTTTGCTTGACCCATTTGTTAATTTTGTGAACTTGTGCCGCTAAATGACCACCGGCATCTCTCACCTTTCTCCGAATTCTCAATCTGACCCTCTATTTCCTTCAAGGTTTTCTGCTGTTTGGGGTCCGTTTTGGCGTCCTTGGGTGGCTGGGAAGTAGTTCCCTTATCCTGACCTTTGGTACTGGGCATGATGGCTGATTTTGAGTGCAAGGTATTTGGTTGAGACAAGATTCTTTCTATCAGTTTTCTCGACCTTAAGGCAGGGGAATGTAGCCTGTATTTAACATTTCAGTCTAGACAATTGGCAACGTGTTATCGAAATGAAGCACCCACGACGTCACATATACAGGATAGCAGCAGGCAGAAACAAGTAAAGTTGATCTGCAAAGATTCAGATGAACGATTCGATGATTGTAATTCCCTGCTGTATTTGGTAAAACCACGAACCCCCCGGCACGCATTGACAGTACCCCACCGGTAGCGGATTGCATGGGAGCAAAGTACAGGGAATAGATCTTCATGATCTTGAAGGGAACGAGAGGTGGGAGTGTTTCAGCTCCTCCTCCGAACTTTTTAGACCTGCAGATCACGGCAAGCACCCAGAGGTAACGAGTCATGGAATTAGGGCATGTTCCGTGATTGCATAGCTCATGGCCCATGAACACTCTTTATGTGCAGGGTCTCAGTCCTACCCCCACTGATGTGTGCTGGCGAGTGGCTATTGGAAGGAATTATGGGGCTTGTGGAAGAACGAGATCGCGCTGACGTCAAGCTATATTCTTAAGAGCGCCGATCGCATCATTTACATGGATCAGCGGTTCGTATTGAGCAAGAGGCAACTTAGAGATTGACGGGTCGCAAGTGGCAAATAGATCATTGTGGATGACTGCACTTGCAGACTTGATTCTAGCAAAGGTAGGCTCTCGGGACAAGATGGAGTGGATAGTTGAGGAAAGCTGGAAGTGAGGAAATAATGACAGGAGACATGATATAGGCAGCCGATCATTTCGCTGGCAATGTGCATCCTTCGTAACTTCGTACTTTGTAGCTTCATGATCCAGTATCCCAGCTAGATTTCGAACTCGATCCATATATCTCCGTGCGTGGAATGCCCAACGCCACAACCTCCTCGCATAGGAGAATGCACATTTTGACCAGCTCAGCACGCGTGTCATACTTCCTCATTCAGTACGTTTTGGACTCTCAGGTTTGTCACTAGCATCTTCAGGTTGTTCGTGTAGGAGGGAGCTGCACGGCATTTATCCCAGCCATCAAGAACAAGTCAATCCGGTCATAGACGCAGATCTCGTCTTTATTATTCTTGGGATTCTTATGATTCCAACGGTCACAGGGGGATATCTATGGGCATTAGATTATCCTGCCGCGAGCAACGTGTACTTAATCCAGCGTGGGGAAACGGTCGAAGCATTACCTCCCTCTAGAAATATATACATAAACCCGCAGGTGCAATACCATGAAAGTAATAATTTATCAGCACCTGCGGTTGAATCTGTTAACCAGCTGGTCAGTACTCTTCAAACTACCGAAATCTGTCCGAAGGTCCACCCTCACCTTCACTTGTTACACCGAAGTTGGTCCGTCGCACAGTGATCTTATTAGACTGGAAGGTATAACTACAATGGCAGTCTCACCACATAGTCATCTGCACCTTATGATTTCCTCTAGAGACACAAAATGGCACTCAAATGGACTCGGCTGATTCGCTTCATCGCGGAAGAAGATGGACGGATACACCTGGGAGAGGTCGATGGGACGCAGTTCCCAGACGTTGGCCTCGCAGTGTTGAACAGGGAGCCAGTCACGGCAAAAGTCATTAGGGGGTCTATTTTCGACGGGGTCGTGACAGACGAGACTCTACATGTCTCGCGGGTGGGTGCCATTCACTACTCCAGTCCCTCAATTATTCAATACAACTAACTGGGACCAGCTTCTATCCCCAGTGGACATGGAAACAGTCCCCCTGATCCGATGTCTCGGCCTCAACTACCGCGACCACGCCAGAGAAGCCAACATGCCCATCCCCCACGAGCCAGTCCTCTTCATCAAGCCCCGGACCGCCTTGAACGGACCCTATCCCGCCAAAATCCCCGTTCCCAAGATCGCACAGGACGGGTCAAGTGACTACGAGGCCGAATTGTCGCTGATCATGTCCAAGGCGGGGCGCGATGTTCCAGAGTCAGAGGCTATGGATTATGTGCTAGGGTACACGTGCAGCAACGATGTTAGCGCTCGCACACAGCAGTTCAAGAACAGTCAATGGTGCTTCTCAAAGGGTAATGCATGGCTCGATCCAACGAAACGAAGCAGGGCTGATGAGTCGCAGGCTTCGATGGCTCTTGCCCGTTGGGTCCGGTACTGGTCAGTCCCTCGGAGATTGATCCCCATCAACTGGCCATCAAGGCCATTCACAATGGGACTGTGGTGCAGGATTCGAATACCAGGTAGAGATCCAATATTCCGGAAGTCCAATGACAATGACTGATAAGTGGTGCAGGGAAATGATCTTCAATATCCCCCAGATCATCTCATTTCTTTCTCAGGGCACAACCTTGGAGAGAGGAACAGTGATCATGACCGGCACTGGGCCTGGAATTGGCGCGATGCGAAACCCAAAAGTGGTGCTGAAACATGGCGACGACATGCGCGTGGAGATTGAGGGCATTGGGACGCTGGTCAACCAAGTTCACTATGAATAGTCAAGAGAAATAAGTCCAAGTACTCGTTGATTGCACTAAATGAGGATACCCGAGGTTAGGGTCGACCTTCGGACAGACTTCGGGGGATTTTCCTTCTATGTACTTGAGTTTGCCGAATCATATGAGAGAATTAGATATAGATATTAACCTCCACATGCGGGGTCTGGGGAACGCCATGACGGGGGAAATCCACCAGAAGCCCACGATACCTCCCTCACCACTTGAAACAATTGGCAAAGATGTCTCAGTCTCTCCAGAATCGTCGCTCAGATATCTCTTGTCGAACATGCCGCAGGTAAACCATCCCTACTCTATCGATGCATGGCGTCCGTCTAACGAGACTGCAGACGTAAAGTGAAATGGTCGGTTAATATGAAGGACCATGGAATGAATATTGAATTAATGTCGTAGTGACCGGAAATACCCTCGGTGTGTGGTATGCGAGCAGACTTCACAGACCTGCTCCTACCCACCCGGGCCCATGAAGCCAGGCCCCAAGATCGGGTCTCTGCGACATCGCAAACGCCCTCGAGAGAGTACTATTGAGGAGGACGAGCGACCAATCGGTACCCCTCGCCTAGACACCGAAGTCGAAGTTGACACCCTGATGCTCCCGCCGCCTATGCCTCGCAGCGACGCTGGCTCACCAGGGGACAGAAGGGAGCAGCCCTTGCTGACGGACACGCACCCCGTCAAGATGTCGACGGGTGCCAAGGACCCCGATCTAGCGTTCATCCTGCACCCAGCACATGAGACGTCGGCATCAGACAAGGACGCGACGTCTCCGAGCGTATCTGTGCCCTCGAGTCGTACCAAAGGCGCTCTGCAACGCGCGTGTTCTGTATTGAAGATGAGCGAAACAGTTGTGGAGACTATGTCTGCATCCATTCACAAAGCAAGTCAGAAGGCAGGTGGCTAATGACGACCAGGATCAACACATACTTTGAAAATATGACGGCCATCAGTCTGTTCCACCAGCCCACATTCCGGGACAAAATGGCCCACATCGCGTCTCCTACTCAATTGATTGCCCTCTTGGCCGCCATGTTCACCTTTGCGGTGCGATTTCATTCGGGTGCGCATGAAAGATCCCAGAATGACACGCACCGTCAAGCAACGTTGTACCTGAACCAAGCAGTGCGCGCGATTGACGCGGCCCTCGACGAGTGCGGCGACTTCACCCCCCCTCTTTGCCTACTGCAGGCGTCCATCCTCGCCGCTCATTTCCAGCTGACCCGAGGAGTCTTAGGCCGAGCCTGGCGAATGCTTGGAACTTGCGTAAGACTCGCATACGAGATGAACCTGCATCTAGTGGACGTGCGGTGCACCTCGCCCGCCACGGACGCAGACAAATGGTGCGAGGACGAAGAGAGACGGCGGGCCTGGTGGGCCGTCTGGGAGATGGATGTATTCGCCACCACGATCCGCCGAACCCCGACAGCTGTAGACTGGTCACAGCTCGAGACGTTCCTGCCCGTGCGTGACGAGGACTGGTTCCGCGCGACGGCGCGGCCGAGTTGTTTCCTTGAGCGTGATCCCATCCGGCGCTGGAAGGCGCTGGAAAGCTGTGGCAACCAGTCCGCCAAGGCGTGGTTCATTGTGATCAATTCCCTCATGAAGGAGGCGCAGCGCATCTCGAGCCCCCGAGGCATTCCTGGTCAGCCACCGTCGGATCGCATAGACGAGGCTCGTCAGCGCTTGGAAGTCATTGCCAACGCAGTGCGTTGCTTCCAGCTGGCCCTGCCACGGGCCTTTCGATACGACCAGCGGTATCTGGCGTTCGACTTTGCGAACCGCCAGATGCATTCGGCAGTATATAATATCCACATGATGACCCAGCTGGCGAGGATCATGATCTACCGCTATGACGTCTTCAAGGGCCGCTTTCGCGTGGCGGTAGGCAGCCATGAGCCTGATCCCATCGGAGAAGACACAAATGTAAATGCGGGAGAGCGTCTGGCTGGCCAGGCATACTTTGACGCGGCGGGTGATATCCAGGCCCTCGTCCACCATAGCAGCGACGACCACATCCGTCACATTAACCCGTTCCTGTCCAACACGATCTGGCTAGCTTCGGCAGTACACTTAATGCGCAGTCAGCTCTGCCGGCCTGGAATGACCCGATCAGTCATTAAATCCAGATATGAAGTTCTCCATCTCACGTACAAAAAGTGCGTTCGCTTCTGGGACATGCATACCGCAGTGCAGCAGAACCTCGAGGCGCTGGAAGAGCAACTAGAGGAGTGGCAGGCCAAGGGACAACCCTGCAATGATGGAGCAAAGCAGGCGCAATCTAGCACAATTGCCGGGGCCCCAGATGTCTTGCCCCAGCGGGACTTGCGCACTCCTTCAGCATCGCTCGCCCCCCCTACGCCTCCGCCCAGTCATCGATTCTATGCTATTGACTGGCAAACAGAAGGGCTTGCGGAGGCAACAGACCCATCATCTTTGGATGCGATGGCTGCACAGCTGCTAGATCCCATGTTCCTTTTTGGAACTGCCTCGTCGCAAGGACTATTGATCGACAATAATTCAGGACTGGACCTAGACCTGGGATTCTGGGGTTCCGAATCTACATGACACTCTTTGATAGGCACAGATACGCATCCCATGTGAAAAGGCGATATGCAGTACTCAATTTAATGCACAGTAGAGCTTCAAGTGTCTAGACCGAGAATCGCTCTCATCACGCCCTCAAGTTTCCGTTCACAAGCTTCCACGCCCCCCAAGCTCCCTACTGCTCTCCAGGCCACATACCTATCTGGTCGCACAAGCACGGCCCCCGTCTCTTTCACCTCCCTAACACGCTCCCACTCAAAGTAGACGTCCTCCCAGTCCTGCCGGAACCCAATCGAGTAGCTCCGCATCGGCACACTGAGCCTGTCTGCCACATGCCTGGCCGCCTGCTTCCAGTTCCCACCCCCAATTCCCGTGAAAAGCACAAACGCGCCATGACCAGCCAGATCAATCGTCGAGACCAACTCGCCCGGCACAGCCGTGTTGAGCCAGACATGTGGCAGCCGACAACCAGGGTAAGTGCTCGGCTCGTGATACAAAACCGGGTCCTCTGCCGCACGGCCGGGGAGACGGTAGGACTGCACTTCGTCCGCGTCGTAGACGCCCATCCCGGCGTACCGCTGGTTCATCTCAACACCCAACCCGTGGAACTCGTGGCTGGTGAGTGTGACTGCCTCGCGGAGGGTCCGGCGCCGCTGCTGCCCCGCCGCGGTGGGTTGCCTGAGCTCGTGGAGTGCCTTGCAACGGGCCTCGACGTCGTTTTCTAACATGCCGAGGGCGGACCAGATGCCGTGGTGGTCGCGGAGTGCCTGGTTGGCGCGTGTGACGATGCTGTGGCCGACGGGCTGGCGCTCGGTGGAGTATGTTTCCAGTAAAGACGGGGCGGCTAGTCCGCGGTGGACGTAGGCGATCTTCCAGGCGAGGTTGAAGGCGTCCTGGATGCAGGTATTAGAGCCCAGGCCGTTGAGGGGTGGGTGGCGGTGGACTGCGTCGCCGAGGCAGAATCTACCTCGATTCAAAGCTGTTAGCATCGTGATAGGTATCTCTGATAATGGGGACTAACATCTTGCCTTGAGAATACCTCTCCGCCACGATCTCGTTTATATACCATGTGGACACGTCGAGGATCTCAGCTGGAGTGTCATCACCGATGAAGTCGCGGACTCGCCGCAGATACTCCTCGCGCGAGACAGGTGTCTTGGGGCTGTGACCCTTCTCTGGGAACAAGATGAACATCCACTCGTTCCACGGCTTCACCATCCGGACAATTCCCATCCAGCCGAAGCTCGGGTGCTCGCGGTCCGGCTGCATCACCCAGTGCAGATTCCCCTCTCGATATGCCATCAAATGGGTCAGATCCGCCTTGACCAGCACGTTGATGGCTACCCCCTGGCCAGGCTGCACGGAAAGCGGCAGGTTAAGCTGCCGGACGATCTGGCTGCGTGCCCCGTCTGCGCCGAACAGGAACTTGGTCCGGATGAGGTACTCCGCGTGAGATAGATTGTCCCGGACGGAGGCGGTGATATATTTCCCTTCCTCCTTGAAGGACAGGAGCGTGGTATCGAATCGCGTGGTGAATCCTTGCCAGGTTGCATGCCGGACGAGAATGGGCTCGAGCAGCGTTTGCGGGAGATCCACGGGAGAGCACGGGCTGGCCATTTGATAGTCGCCCTGGAGAGCGTGAGTATTTCAATTATCACTGGAGTATTCAGATCGAAGCCAGCTAACCTTTCTTCTGGGATCATTTCCCCAGGAATAGATACGCGCAAACTCCTCGCCCGCCATGCTGTAGCACCAACGTGTGTGAAGCATATGCCGCTCGCCACTGCTGGCAACCTTGTTGACTTCCTTGTCCAGACCAATATCACGCAAACACTCTACAAACTATTATTGAGAAGCCCTGGATATTCCATGGATGACAACGTACCCAGAGCGGCCAAGTTGGTGATGTGAGCTCGCGGGGTGTGAGCTGTCCCCGGAGCAGCACTGATCATGATTCCCTGGAGGTCTGATCCTTGAGCTATTGATCAGGAGAGAGATTAATGGTGACACGGACCATACGATGCGAGGAAGCAGGCCAGAGCAGCACCAGCTGGCCCTGCGCCGACAACGAGAAACTCCGTCTTGATTATTCCATCTGTTGTTCCGTCGGCTTGGCCAGCCATTGTCGTTGTAGAGGTACTACCCATTATATTCGGGGCAGTGAGTATTCTTTCGCATGTCTTAGATGCTCATTCGATTACTGGAATGAACTTGTATCGTCAACTCTATTTAAGGAGTCTGTTTGTTGATGGGTTATGCGGACGTCGAAAGAGATATAAGGAATTCCACCGAAGACAGTCCGAGAATCCACGCGAGCCTTGGGACGGGAACAACAAGTCGTACCCGATTATATAAAAGAGCACGATATAGTAAAATCATACTAGAATACCACCAAGACTTCTCGCTATTTGCTTACAGAAACCTCGTCCCCTGGATTACTGATCATGAGTCCTGCCGCCGCCAGTAACCGCCAGATTCGTCTCGTCCGACTGGCCCACGTCTACTACACCCACCAGGATCTGGATAAGGCAGCCCGATTTCTGGAGGACTTTGGCTTTCAGGAGACCGGAAGAGTGGGCAAGACTATTTACTACCGCGGGACCAGCGCCGAGCCATTCGTCTATTGCGCTCAACAAGGCGACGTGGATAGATTTGGTGGTGCTGCCTTCGTGGTGGAGTCCATGGCGGATCTTGAGTATGCAGCGCGGACATTGCCAAGTACCAGTGAGGTGTATCAGCTAGACTGTCCAGGAGGAGGGCTCTGTGTAACTTTTGCCGATCCGGTTGACGGGTTTGCTTTCCATCTGGTCTATGGGCAAACTCCTTTGGAGGCGACGGCCGTGATGCAGGAACCGCGGTACAACTATGTGAGTGATGAGACTAATTGAGGTATATAGATTGGGGCTAAATTCTATTTCCAGCCCACAGAGAAGCATCGACCTTCGAACAGCTGTCAGAGATTCAAGCCTGGTAAGGCTGATCATATCTTGGACGGAAAAGCAAGTCGCTAACGAAAGCAGGTCCAGCACCAGTCCACAAATTGGGCCACTTCGGGATGTGCGTGACGGACTTTGCCAGGGCGTATGACTTTTACACGACGCGCTTCAACTTCAAGGCCAGTGATGTGGGTAACTATGGTCGACCCAAAGGCGTACAGAGAGAGCATTGCTAATCTATCAGCTTCTCCACGACGAGCACGGCAAGGACATCAGCGCATTCATGCACCTAGATCGGGGGGAGGAGCTGGTGGATCATCATTGTTTCTTTCTCTTTGAGGGGCCAAAATCCCATGTTCATCACTCCTCCTTTGAGACTACGGATTTTGATACTCAGCTTCTGGGACACCACTGGCTCCGGCAGAGGGGTTATGCTAATTGCTGGGGCGTGGGGAGACACATTATGGGCAGCCAGATCTTTGACTATTGGTGCGTTATTTGACGTTAGACGGAACTTTTGGTGCTGATAGCCATATCCAGGTTCGATCCATCGGGGTTCATTCTGGAGCACTATGTCGATGGCGACTTGGTGAATGAGGACTACCCTACGAATCGATCGCCTGCTTCGCCAAACAACCTGCATGTCTGGGGTACGTAACCTGAACGTCGAGCAAATAACTTGAAGACTCAACGTGTTTGTAGGACCTGACCTGCCGGAGGGATTTCTGGAATAATTGGTCTCTTTTGCGAGTTCTTGCGCTTTGTTCGGATGAATCGAAGGATCTGCGTTGTAAAGATGTTGCGAATTTGTTCCGATCTTGTGGAGAATCTGGGGATATTCTGGGGATATTCTGGGGTAAAGAGGCTGTGCGTAGCCAGTTCTGAATATTTATATCGCTATCAGGGTGCGTCTCACATAACTGAATCAATTTATTCAATTCAAAATCCAGGATGCAGTCACTTCCCATCGTAATCATCACCATCGTTCTTGGATGTCTATACCTAATACTCACCAAGGGCCACCGAGAGAAAGGGCTCCCACCGGGTATATCCCTTGTCTGAACAGAGTCATCCACAGATGTATTGACCATAATTCCGACCATAGGCCCTCCAACTCTGCCTTTTCTGGGAAACATCCACCAAATCCCCAGAAGAGGATCCTATCTCAAGTATGTTTCACCATTCCTCCTCATCCACCAATCCTCCTCATCCACCGGCACGACTGACCGCCAGATTCACTGAGTGGGCCGAGAAATACGGAGGCCTCTACTCCCTGAAACTGGGAACTGGCACTGCAGTTGTAATCACTGACCGACGAATCGTGAAGGAGCTGATCGACCGCAAGAGCTCCAAGTACAGTAACCGACCGGCATCGTTCGTCGCGCATACCATCACCGGGGGAGACCATCTATTGGTCATGCAATATGGAGCGCTGTGGCGCACCCTCCGTAAGCTTGTTCATCAGTACTTCATGGAGTCGATGGTCGAGAAGAGTCATCTACGAGTTCAAAATGCCGAGGCAGTGCAGATGTTACGTGATTTCTGTGTGCGGCCTGATCAGCACATGCTGCATCCAAAACGGTATAGCAATAGTATCACTATGAGTCTGGGTCAGTGGTCCAATGTGGGTCAAAGGAAGATGAATGCTTGCTGACAGAGAAAAGTATATGGGATTCGGACACCATCTGTGCATACGCCACACATGACGCAGCTGTACGAGATGATGGTAAGCGTTTCGTACCCTTTACCATGCAGGTTTTTTAGCGACTCCCGACTCATCAGACTAGGATCAATGGTCCCAAGTCATGGAGCCCGGCAACACGCCTCCCGTAGATATCTACTCCTTCCTGCATTACATTCCCCAGCGGCTGTTCGGCGACTGGCTCTCCCGTGCCAAGGGCGTCAGCGCGCACATGAACAACCTCTACGCCGAGTACCTTGACCGCGTCGAAGCACGCAGGGACAAAAGGGGCAGCACAGGCTCGTTCATAGACTCCGTGCTCGATCAGAACGACAAGCTCGGACTCACCCGCCACCAGCTGTACTTTCTCGGCGGGGTCCTGCTGGAAGGCGGATCGGATACCTCGAGCGCCATCATCCTCGCGTTCATTCATGCCATGACCAAGTGGAATGAAGTGCTCCGCAAGGCACAGGCCGAGATTGATGCCGTGGTAGGCGAGGACCGTACCCCCGTGTGGGCCGACTATGATCGCCTGCCATACACTGCTACCGTTGTCAAGGAAGCCATGCGCTGGCGGCCGGCAGTGCCTCTGGCTTTTCCTCACGCTGCTGCAGAAGGTATTTACCCCCTTTTCGCCTTGTTGAATCTTGTGCTCACGGGTTCCTTAGACGACTGGATCGATGGCCACCTCATACCCAAGGGCACAACCGTCATCGTCAACGGCTGGGGCCTCCACCATGATAAACGTCGCTTCCCAAACTCGGACGTCTTTGACCCAGACCACTACCGCGGCCAAACCGCTCTGGCCTCCGACCTGGCCGGCGCACCCGACTACAACAGTCGTGACCACTATGGCTACGGCACGGGACGCCGAATCTGCCCGGGGATCCACGTTGCGGAGCGCAACCTCTTTCTGGGAATCGCGAAGCTCATCTGGGCATTCTCCATCGAGGCTGGGAAAGATGAGGCTGGTAATCTTATTCCGCCCGATCTCAATCCTGAGACGGGTTATAGTGAAGGTTTCCTGGTTTGCGCCAGGGACTTCGCGTGCCGGATCACACCCCGATCCGCGGCAAGACGGGCGACAATCATGAGAGAATTCAAACAGGCGCAAGAGGAAGTGTTCTCTTGTTACGAGAATCCAGTTTAAGGTGTTCCAATCACGGACATGCAACATCTTTTGTCAACCAGGCCGGATGCCTGCGGTGTGTAAATATCTGTGAAGGCATTTGTATGTCACACGCATCCCTGACATGGACTGTATCAATTAAGACGCGCAATTCCTCTCTGTGATTGCTTCGTGCCTTTTCAAGACATGGCGAGAGAATACTCTATAGAGTCGTATGATAGACTACTAGTTGTGAGGCAGAGACTAATAGGCTGTAGCCTATTTCCTGTCTTTACTTCCTGATAGTTCCTAGGTCTAGCCCCCATCTATAAACATTCTGATTCTTTTCCTTGTCATAACCCGTCTTTCATCATATTCTAATGAGAGCATTGGCTGGTGGGCCTGAGACGAGAGTGTCTAGAACAATCAAACCGTGGGATGTTGTTGCAATGACAGTATATTATCACTCTGTATACTATGTGCATATCATCTATAAGACTGTTTACGGACAGGTCCAGATTTTGGCTACCTATGGAAAGCAAGATGACATAACGATTTTACCATAAGGAAGGCCGTCTCTAAAAGGGTTGCGTCAGGATATACGGAGCATCTAATGTTCTAATCTTTGAAAGGATGCCATGATCAATGCAGGCTCCATAGCATAAATTTCTGCATCTTCTATGTAAGAAGATCGGATTTAGTTTGATCTTGGTATTTTTTTGGAAGTTTTACTGTACACCCAGTAGCCTCTGCGGCGATGCCTGGTTACAAAAGCAGGGGTAGGGTCTACGTAGCTACAAAGTCAAGACTAGATGATAGGGATATACAGGACAGGAATGTAATGGAGAGCGTCATGGACAAAGCCGTTGACATTTTATACAATTGTCATACGATCGCCTTCGACTGGACTGCATCATCCGACGTCATCCACGAACTCTAACCGTCCGCATAAGTGCCACATCCATATAATTAGCCATCGACCTTCTTCTACGGAAAACGGTGAAAGCCAAAGCCAAATTAACTGTACATTCGGTGTAATTTAAACTCCTCTGTATATACTGCAAAATGACAAAGGACTTGGTACGCCTCGCTGTCGGGGATTCTTGTTCTCAAGGCATTGTATCCGTTCTTACTGCTGCTACAGACCTTCGACGTCCATTACGACAACGAGCTCGCGCACGAGTACTACGGGGACGGGGAAAAGCTAGCCAAGAAGTATGATAACAAGCAATCATGCACTGCAGTCTGGAGATGACAGCTAATGCGCGGATGGAAAGTCTTCGCGTGATATACCACGATCGCGACCTCAAATTCCCAGACGTTTTCGATTCCACATTGACCACTCCGCCTGTACATTTTCTGTCGTATGTAGCTTCCTTTAACCGTGAAGTCTATGGGCAGAACGAGGCTGATACTGTATCCTCTGCAGTGTCGAGGCACCGGATAATGTGGAGATCGAGGAACTGCAGAGTGTGGAAGTACCACCGGGACTTCATGTTGATATTATTGACTTTCACATGGAGTAGCCACGGTCGTTGTGTACTTTGAGTTGGAGGCAATTATCTCGAAATGATGGATAAAACGGCAGCAGACCCATCTCATGTTTACTACGATCTAAATGAAAGCTCATGAATTGTCCAAATAGCATCCCCTGCTCCATTCAGCTGGCGTAAAGGAAGTTGCTAGTGACATGCTCAGCTCTGGCCTTCGTCGTGACCTGGGGCCGTAAAATATCTAATCAAAATAGCCATCCGAATTATGTGCAAGATCCCTTCTTATTAGTGACTTGCACTTGAATTTACCGAGATAGGTGCTAAAGGAATTCATCAAGGGGTGAAGGTCTCATTCTCATTACGGGGATACCGTATACGAGGCGCAGCAACGGCCGGAGCAAAGTTTATTAAATGGTCTCAGGATGTAATCATGAGACGGACAGCAACGAGTCGTCCAAACATTCAGCCTCACCAACAGTGCAGCAGACGGGTAAGCACTAGTCCAGAAGCCAATGTAAGCCTGATTCGAAGCTTATTCTCTGTTGGATCTCGCGATAGGCTTGGGGCTTTCACGTGTGACAAGGAGCTGAACGTAGTGCTTACTGCTATTTGTTGTACACAAGATGTTAGAGGGTAGAAAAGGTAGGCAAAGGCTCGGGACCATGGCATCGATTGCCTATAAGAGGCAAACATGCCCCTGGAATGGACTGTAAACAAAGCTTCCAAGCAAACGATCAGCATCATGTCGCGAGAAATCGACAGACTGGCTGAGCCAGCGGACAAGAAGAAGGCCAAGGTGATCGTCGCCAGCTGTAGCCGGTGAGCAATATCTTACTAGCATTTTGTTGATACCTGCATGTCGCTGACAGCAGGCTCAGAACTGGGACACTTGGCCTCTACTTTGCCATGAAGATACTGGGCTACAAGCCCTACCACATGTACGAAGCCGTACTCGTGCACCGCACGGCACACATCACCGCCCTACTAGAGGCAGTAACCGCGCAGCATAATCGGTTCTCGGGCATCAGACGGTTCAACAAAGCTGATTTCGACAAGTTGACCGCCGAATATGATGTATGTGTCTACTTTACCTGATTGTCCAGCTGGATACTCATCATGCTACAGTGCCTCGTTGAGATCCCGAGTTACCTAGGCCCAGCCCTCCTCGACGAGTACGCGCAGGATCCCGAGGTCAAGTTCATCCTGACGGAGCGTGACCCCGATCGGTGGGCCAAGTCGGTCAACAGCACCGTGGGCTTTGTGATCAAGGCGTCGGCTTCCTTTCCATTGAGCGTTCTCAAGCATTTCGACAAAGAATTAGGCAGTTTCCTGGCCCTCAACGTCGCCATGTACGGCGCCATTGCTGACGGCACAAAGCCGGGCCAGCCTGGTAACGAGGCTGCTCTCAGTCGGAACTATGTTGAGTAGTAAGTGACTACTGACAAATGGCTGGGTGGTGCAGAAGGATGCTGACATGCAACTACAGTATCAAGGCCGTCAAAAATACGGTTCCTAAAGAGCGTCTGCTGGTCGTCAAGCTTGAAGATGGGCTCGGATGGGAGCAGATCTGCCCGTTCCTGGGTGTGCCCATTCCAGAAGAGGAATATCCGCGTGGTAACGAGGTCGATAATTTCCAGGCCAAGGCGCAGGAATACTTTGAGGAGAGAACCAGAGCCGCTATGCTTAGGCTGGGGGCGCTACTTGTGCCTGCGTTGGGCGTTTTTGGTTACCTTGGATGGAAATATTTTGATAAATGGGCATAGTTCTTGGAAACCGCTATAGTGACAATGCTCGCTTTGCTGGCTTCCCGTTACGCTGGGACATATCCCATCTTTTCCATTTTGAACCGACCTATGTCTCGCAGCATATCGATACCCAGCTCCAAAATATCGTGCGGATTCGAGCCAGGTCTTGTTGACCGGCCAAAAAACATCCGCCGTGTTAGTCGTATTGCCTGGGTACCCGGTGGTACGCTTTGAGGAATCGGGAAGATTTGCTTCTTTCGTCGTTAGCCAGCTGTAACACGATAACAATGAATAAGATATCCGCACCTCACGTTGTGCAAGATGAGGCATTCCGCTTCTGTCAAGTGTGTAAAACTCCAACACTCCACGAATACAGTAGGTTTTCTGGCAGACAGTCCATTTTATAAGGACCGCAGCACGAACGGCGCCGTTGCCTCCGACCAGCCATTCCCGTATGGCCCCCCGAAGCTCCTCGAGAGATTCAGTCCAACCAATCTCAAAGACTATGCTTGGCATATTCCCGGGTGGAACATCAATGGCTAGGTTGGGTGCCCTTTGTATGCCAGAAAATGGACCATCAGGAAATGTATACTCTTCTACCAATCAGGACGGCCTGGGATAGAATGAACAGAGCTGCACGGTCTTACCAGCATTAGATACGGGATATATCATTCTGACCTCATCTTCAGACAGGAGCCCGGAGGTGGCCCATCGAATCTGGCATCGATTATACCACACTTGGCCTGCGGTGTGAAGATGGGTAACCCGTGGTATAGCCCTGAATATCAGAGTAAAGGGGCTATAACTCTTGCTACCGAAGAGGAAATAGGTTATTCAGTTTGTCGTTCTGTTCTGCTACGCCGACAAGACTCGCTTACCAGAAGCCGGATCTTGCCCGCTCAAAAGCATCACTAACGGTCGACGTCCAGGAAGGAGCGATGTTGTCGTAAACAAGCTCGGCGTAGATGACATCTTTGGCCGCTCTTGCTTCGCAGATCTTCTCAACCAGGTGATTGTGGAAAGACTGTTCGTCTGTAAATTCTGAGCCGGAATAATGAACAATCTTAGATTCAGGACTGGTTTCCATTTTTGTGCAGAACTCTGTCTCGAGAACAGATTTGTTAAAAAAGGAAATTATGTGAATGGTGCCTCTGATAAGCATTAACTATGATGTAGACATGATCATGCTGTCTCTCCGAGACCACGGAAGGCTGCCACTTACCCAATAGCGCCAAGATCTTCATTGCGTTCCTAGACTTTGCGCAGGCCGAGCTTTCCTCACGTTTTGTCTACAGTAGGTGATCCTCAATTAAGTGTCGAATAACCGTCATTCTACAAGGAATAACGAAACCCGAGGCCATCGGAATGGTAGACTTTCCCATAAAGACGGAGGCCATTGAGGAGGAATCGGTAGTGACCTTAGTACATATTGAGATAGGACACTAACAAACTCTTCTCTGAACATATCTGAAAGTAATATGTCAGATCACTGCAACGACCGCCATAGCCGCCGCACCACCAACCACCCAGTTAGCAAGACCCGTCACCTGCGCCCCAGCGGCGTTTGTGCTTTTGCTGACTGCAGTCGTTGGGGATGTTACAGAAGCAGTGTCTTTCCCCGTCTCCTTCGCCGAAGTTGAAGCCCCCGTAGTCGTCAGCGTCGTGGATCCTGTAGCCGTGGCGGTTCCAGCAGTGGCAAATGCCTGAGCAGTAGCCGGGACACTAGCACTCTCGGTGCCGGTGATGGTCAGAGTCTGGTACATATCCTCCACAGGACCGACAGTAGCCATAGTGCCGACGCTGGTAGATGAGCCGTAGTTCATAGAGATAACACAAGAAACGGAGGTGGAGTCACTGATCGCGCAGTCCTCGGCCATGGTACTACCCTCTTGGTAAGCCATTATATGGAAGAAGTCTAATAGCGTAAACCCGATATGTGAAGACGTATACTGGTGAACAAGACTTACTACTGGGGATATTCGAACACACCGCGGAAGGTGGAAGGTCCGTGGACGATGGTAAAGCCGCTGGATGAGGCAGCACAGTCACCCATCACGATGAAGTTCTGATTCTTGGGTTTGGGATTGCAGTCCACGACATAGGTGGTCAAGGGACCGTCCTAGATATAGGTTAGGTTATCGATCTGGTGGCGGGGTTCAATATCTCTCGTTGCTCTTGAAGAAACATGCGATACCAATGCTGGATATGAGATAACCTACTATACCGATGACCTTTCCCACAAGGGATTGCGAGTCGAATTCGGGCAGGAAAAGGGTGACGATATCGTCGGCAATTGCGGTGGTGGCAATTGCAGCCAGGAGGGTAAGAGAAAGAATGCTTTGGGCATGCATCTTGCCTGATCAACTGAAGAATCGAATCTGGAAGGTTATAGTAAGACCAATTCAGAATGAGGGCATGAAAAGATCTTGAGACAATTCCAGTATGGATTGCACAAACTAAAAATTATAGGAGATGAGCAATAAACAATGTTAATGAGTGACTGTGAATGAGGGAAATGGCCGAGATCTAGAATAATGCCTCAAATTCGCGGCTCACTCCTATTTAATATAGCGAGTCATTCTCGAGTTCGATGAACAGGGGCTCTTGGCTATTCGCTAGCTAGCTAGTTCACTGATGAGGGGCGACATCCGACAAGCTAAGATACAGTCTACATAACACTCTTCCCATTAGGGAACTCGTCCGTAGACTGTTGCTTATGAGTGGTCAGCTAATCTCCTAGTCCGCGAGGTTACATTGTAAATAAGTCCCACATTGCCTCATATGGCAGTAACCAATTGCAAAAGCAGACTATCATTGGAGAAAGCCGCACTCAAGCTTGTCTTGGTGGCTTTGATCAATGCAGGTCAAGTCCCCTGGGCCAGTCGGGTAACCTAGTGAGTCTCCATTTGGGCTTGGGCGTCCATGCCTCAGCAAGCTGACGCTTAAGCCTTTCACTTAAATAATACAAATCTGGTGCCTTTTGCTAAGCAGATCCTAATACCGTACCTCTTCTGTTTGAACTACAATGGCCTAAGCTGGTGGCTTGTCCTGGCATGCTCAATTCGGGCAGAAACTTAGTTCCAGGCAAATCCACGTTCTCGGCAGTCTCTCAATGAAAATGACAAAAAGGTATTATCTAGTTTCCTGCCGAACAAGGAGACTCATAGTACTTGTGGAGTAGCACCATAATGTTTTACGGAGCGGTATATGATCCCCAAGAAGCATGATGGTGGCATAGACAGCATTACGGTCAAAAGGACAACACCCGATCTGGAGAAATATCTTCTTGCTTTCACTACTTGAGCGAAATATCTTTATTTGGTACATCTCGCTGATGCAGAAACATCATGATCTGCAGGCACTCGGAATAGATCGATTGATCCCGAGGATGCCCTTCTCCACCTCGAGGTCAATCTTTGCAACAGCTCACCCTATCCGTGGCGACTGTAAATTAGCAAGGATAGTCAATCTTGCTTGCATTTCTATTCAGATAGGGGGCCAATTGCGACTTCTTCTTCCTGTGGAAGTGGCCGCACTGGACCGCTGTCACGAGAGCTTCCGTATTGACTATAGCAGTGGTCAGCGAGTTCTTCTTGACATTCAACCATAAGTCTTACTTTCAGCTCCTGGCCAGCTTGTATGCGTATAGTCGTTCAGTGGGTAGTAAGGCATAGTGGCATTGACCGACCCGAAAGCCTGCCAGCGATTCACAGCATATTTCGTATGATCGATATATTCGACCCCTTCTTCCTCGGCCACCTGTACTTCGTCTTAGTTTATAACCACCGCTGCACGCCTCCCAGTCTATTTCGGCGTTGGCACATACCTCACGCGCATAATCTGCAAAAGGCCAGTCATGTCGAAGGACATCGCCCGTCCAGGACATGACCGGGACCATCCCGCTCAGCAATGGAACACCGCCAGCCTCGCGCACGTCATGGATCATTTTCCGGAGGTAATGGCCAAATGTGTACACTGTTTCTGTTGTGCCACCTGTGGCATTGCTAGCCACAACGACACTCTCGGGGCCGATGCCGGGTAGCGTGGCTCGATTTTTCACGTCGGTAGTCGGATCGCCGTTGTCGTTGTGTCCCATCTCGATGAGGACAAATGTACCTTCGCCGGGAACAATGCGCTCCAGTAAAGACGCCCATAGCCCTTCGTTGATGAAGGAGCGAGTGCTGCGACCGCCGCGGGCGAGGTTGGTGATGTTGAGGGCGAAGAAGTTGTGCACGTAGTAGCCCCATCTGTAGAGGTCAGTACATTCTTTTCCCCTTATTTGGAAGGCAAAAGCTACCCTTGGATTAGACTACTCGTCCCATATGGCATCGTCGTACTATCGGAACAGAGGAGGATCTGGCGCTGGGGACGGATAGTGGGTGCCGCATTGCTCATGGATGCTAGGCCTGCTAACAATGCGGAGGCACAGAAAAAGGAGTTGAAGCTTCTCATACTTGCTCACTGTTCCTTCTCGAATTCCCGATCTTTACGGAATATAGTGTCAAAGCTGTTCACATCCTCTGACGGGAATCCTCGAAGCTAAGCCGGATGATATATATCAGGGCCTCCCATGTGGGCGATGACTTGCCCCTCATGCAATTTAGTAGAGTCCTCCATCCATCCTGCAAGAGTTCCCTTGGCCCGGGGGATGTCAATCTGCTGACGAGAATGGCTTTCACTGAAGGATTCTCGGTTCCCATCTATTGGCGATTGCTCAGCGCGGGGTCCCTGCAGCACCATACTTGGCTCCTTCAGCGATTTCCGGGGTAACTTAACTTAGAATAATCCTCCGCATGGCATCATCCCGGTATCATTGCGGGGCCTTGCTAATCGATCTTCAGGCCATGATGCGGGGAATACGGGGGATGTCAAATCCCACCAATCTGGTGGATAAGTCGATCTGGGTTCGGGACAAAAGGGGCCGAGAATATGATTAGGTCTCATAGATGCCTTTGTCCATTCAGGGGTAGTGTATATGAGAGGTAAATCCCCTGTGAACGATGAGAGTAATATGACTGGGATGTAGGTAAATGTCGTTGGAAATCTTGTCTCCCTGGGATCATGCGGTCATCCAACTCCCCAAAGTGGCCGCTTGGTCCACCTGCTCATTGTATAGTACATCATCACGTAGCCATAGAGTGATGCACTGAAAGCACAATGGGCTTTGCAAGTTAGATTGAATCTTGTACTGGCCCGCAGGAAGCGACGCCGAAGACGGCCAGATCTGAGTTGACAGCATTACATATCCTGCGATAATTTATACCGTTGTCAATTCCACTAATTCGGCTTCTTCCTTGAGCCTTGCCTAGAATTCGAACTCAATTCGCAAATCCTGCGTTGAGAGTGACTCCTAGTGGAACCAAAATTCGATTATGCGAAAAATAGTCGGGTTGATACAAAGCAGATGAATCATAATCATTATCATTCAGAAAACCCTGGATTTGCTATGCATACAGAGCACATGCCCTACAGAAGATGCTTCAACGGCTTCACCTCGGCCCCAGCAAAGATTTCTCCTCCCAGAAGCACCCGGTCGTTAGGATCATAAACCGGCTCCTTCGTAACCGTAGCCCTAATCCTTCTCCCAAAATATTCCACCTCCACCCCTTCGCCCTCTTGGATCGATGCAGGAAGCCAAGCATACGCAATAGGTTTGCGAATCGTATACCCAAACACAGTGGTAGTCACGTACCCCACGGCCTTGTTGTTCCAAAACACCGGCTCCTTACCCATCACCGTCGACCGTCCATCGTCGATTGTCAAACACCGCAGACGACGCACAGGTTGTCTCCTTGCAAGTCGCTGCACCGCAGCCTTACCCACGAAGTCCACCTGTTTATTTATCTGCACCGCGGAACCCACCCCCGCTTCGAAGGGGTCATGCTCGCTGTTCATATCCACCCCCCAAGTCCTATACCCCTTCTCCAGTCGCAGGGCGTTGAGGGCCGCGCGTCCCGCGGCGATGAGACCGTGCGGCTGGCCCGCAACCCAGAGAATATCCCACAGGCGCAGTCCGTACTCGGCGCTCGTCTGGATTTCCCACCCGCTCTCGCCGACGTAGGATTTGCGGAGGACTGTGACGGGGATACCGGCGATGGTGGCGTTCTTAGCATGCATATATGGCAGTCCAGTGTTGGAGAGGTCGTCTGTCGTTAGCGTCCGGATGACATCGTGGGCGCGAGGGCCCCAGAGGCCGAGACAGCAGGTGTGTCCTGTTACGTCGCGCACCTGAACCCATTGCGTTGGAGATTTTTGTGACTGTCGCCGAGCTTCGCGGGAGAGATACGCAAGGTCAATCGCTGTGTTTGCGCCGATCTGGAACAGTTCCTCCCCGAGCCTAATCACAAAAATGTCGCTGCGGATTCCGGCCCGCTCGTTCAGGAGGAGAGTGTAAGTGATCTGTCCCAGCTCCGGTGCATCGCTTGTCGTCAACCGCTGCAGCAACTCCGTCCCACCGGGCCCGGACATCTCGAACCGGTGGAAGGAAGTCATATCGTACATTGCCACCGCGTTCCGCGTCTTCCATGCCTCAACCGCCGCCACGGGGGAGTAGTACCGCGCCGACCAGGCATCCCTCTCAACCGGCCGCCACGCGGGCGGAAGAAACTGAACGAGCTTCTCATTCGCGTCGTACCAGAACGGCCGCTCCCACCCGCCCAGCTCGAGGAAGAACGCGCCCAATTCCTTTTCCCGCACGTAGAACGGACTCACCCGCAACTGCCGCGGCGACTCACGCGGCTGCACCGGATGCAGGATATCGTAGATCTCGACGAAGTTCTGCGACGAGGTCTCCTTGACGTAGGCACGGCTCAGCTGCACCTCCTCGAACCGGGACAGCTCGCACTCGGCGAGGTCGATGCTCGAGGAGCCCTGGGTGAGCAGTTCGGCCAGTGCGCGCGCCACCCCCGCCGAGTGCGTCACCCACACAGCCTCTGCGACGAAGAAGCCTTCGAGATTGGGGGCGGGCCCAACGAGCGGCCCGCCGTCTGGCGTGAACGAGAAGATGCCGTTGAAGCCGTCGGCGATCTGGCATTGGCGGAGAGCGGGGAGGAGGTTCTGCGTTTCTGTCCAGGCCGGTGCGAAGTCCTCGGCTGTGAAGTCGAGCCTGGACGGCATGTTCTTCTCGTCGACCTGCTTGGGTGTAAAGCCGAGCGAGGCGGCCTCGACGGGCATTGGGCGGTGGCCGTAGTAGCCGATGCCGTATGCGTCGCCGTGCTCGCGGTAGTAGAGGTCCTGGTCCTGGTGACGGAGGATGGGGAATGCGGCGTTCAGCCCGTTGGGGCGGTTGTTGATGTTGCGACCTGCCAGCGCCGCGACAGGGGTGGTTTTGGCGTACTGGTGCGCCAGAGGTAGGAGGGGGATTGGCACGCCGGCCATGGCGCCCACCTCGACGCCCCAAAACCCTGCGCAGGAGATGACGATATCCGCCCCGATGACTCCGGTGGACGTCTTGACGCCGGTGACGCGATTCTTCGTCTTTTCGATACCGGTGACGGGAGTCATCTCCAGGTATCGCACGCCTGCCTGCCGCGTCCGTTCAATCAGCAGTTGTGTTGCCCGCGCTGCAAGCGCCAGACCGTCACTGGGGATATGCAGACCCCCAAGCACAATTTCCTTGTTCAGAAGCGGGTACAGCTTTGTACATTCCTCTGGCGTAACGAGTCGTGCCTCTATTCCCCACGCGGACGCATATCCATGCTTCCGCTTCAGATCCTCGAGTCTCTCCGGTGTGGTGGCGATCTCCAGGCCACCGACCTTGTTGAAGCAGCTCTGCCCGTCATTCTCTAGAGATAGGAGTTTCTCAACCGTGTACTGTGCGAAATGGGTCATCGTCTTGGACGGATTGGTTTGAAAGACAAGGCCCGGAGCATGTGACGTCGAGCCGCCGGGCATCTGCAAAGGTCCCTGCTCGACGACGGTGATGTCGGTCCATCCGCGAGAGACCAGCTCATCGGCGAGGTTCGCACCGACGATACCGGCGCCGATGATGACGATGCGTGGTGAGGGTGCCATTTTGATGGTGCATTGGGTCCTGGCTGTTGACTCTACATGGTGATACTTGTATGTGCATGATCGTGTTGTCATCCTCTTACTACCCCGCAACTCGATAATAGAGAGCCGTGCAAGGTGTTGACAATGATAGACAAATCGTGGGATGCGGCAAAGGCGAACCGGCTGCCAAACCGCACCAACCGACCAGATGATCGGCCATGGAACGGGAGCCGGGGATCCAGACAAGAGGAGTAAAAATAGACCAATATCTTCTGATCTCTGTGATATCTCATGATTTTCGTCATCTAAACGTAGAGCAGCATTCTCCGGGGGCTCGACTTCCCCCAGCAAGTCCATAACTCCATATGCCATGATCTAACAAAGTGTCCAAGTGGGGTTAAGATGGGAAAAGTTTGCCGGTTTGGGAATCGCATTCCTTTGCTTATCCTCTTGCATTTTTACTGGTTCATCTATGCTACTTTGTCCCTGTGCTTAATCTGGCGATTATACCAATGAAAGTTTATTTCCCTTGCACTCACCCATGGCACGCCCTTTTTTGATATCAATGTCGTGGACCGGTCTAGAATTCATCATACCTTATCGCGTTGCTATCGTCGGGGTCATGGACGCAGATGAACATGGCAAGGAAGCCGATTGCAAAACGAGGGCAAACGGCGTTGGAACAACGGCAAGTGCTTTGATCCTAAATATTGAACCTTAGCTATACAATCTGCGTTGGGGCTGAGCGTAGTGATGGGGACTCAATTAATTGCATAGGATATCAAAATTGGGCGGAGGCAGTCGCTTTGGGATGTCATCCGATGAGACGTTGCATTCGTAGTACTCGCCGTTAGGACTTTGGGAGTTGCTGTGTGCTGTGATCTTGCTGATGGAAAGATCACCTTCAAGCCGCACGGGAGGTGGCTCGCTGGGTTGAGTCCTGTTGCATTCGTGGCTTGACGGCCAGGCTGTACAGGCGCGTATCGGCAGGGCATTTAGTCCTAGTCCTAGAATATAAGCGGAGCGCACAGTCTGAAGGATCCTGGAGTCGTGAATCATAACTTCATAACGCTTGGCGCTTGTATGCAGGTTATAGATTTCCCAGATTCCACCATGCCGAACCCTCAACATCGCCTACTGCCGGAGCTGACGTGCTATAGTCGAGATCATCGACGTCTCCAAACTGCGCGGAATCGGCCCATAGCCAGGGCGTGTTGAGCATGAGGCTGTCGATTGGAGCTACCACTGCGTCTGCGGGAGGCATAGACCTTGGAACTGTAGCTGTGCTTGTACCGTCGCCCTTTGACGAATTCGGGGTCCGATAAAGAGGCATGGGTACGCCCTGGCCGCCGTCTGCAGTGTTGACGGTCACTTCAGGGGAGGTAGTCACGATGATTTCGAGTGTAGAGCTTTCCTCTGTGTCGTTTCGGGTTACCGAAGCACTGAGCGAGGAATGGAGGAGGCTTCCGGGTGGGACATCGGGATAGGAACTGTCGCTGCAGGTGAACTGGAGGATATCCCACATCAAGGGGATGTTCAGATGGATCTTGGACGGGACCCAGTTATCGTAGTCTATGTTCTCTGAGCCAGATGCAATCCGGGTCATACGATCGAGTGTTCGGTTCTGATCTGTCAGTTTTGACTTCATCGCCTGGGACGGGAAACATACCAACGCTGCACAGGCCCGAGAAAACGGGACAAAAGACCTCAGAAAATCCCTGCAGCGGGCTAGATCAGCCCGGGACTTGTACTTCAGTCTGGGATCACCAGCACAGCAGTAATACAGCTGCACAGTCGCGGCGATAGCAGCCACATGCGCGAAGAACGGATCCGTAAGCCGTACGTCCTTGTCCGATAGCATGTCAATCATGCGCACGATCCACGTCGCATGAAGAAGTACCAACTCCGACGAACGGCGCCAGAAACTATTCGGAATGGCCAGGTTGGGATTATGCTGCGAGGCCATGATGTACAGAAAAGGATGGTTGAGGACGGTGAGAATCGCATGGTACATGAACTGCAATTTGAGCCAAGGAACCCAGTACGCGCGGTTGAGCGTCACTTCGTCCGGCTGGCGATCGTAGAACCGCACATGGTCGTATCGATGGCAGAGTGGTGTGCGATTTTCGATTTCCGTCAGGTCTGAAAGAACCATGGAATACATCGACTCGTGGCGCCAGGGCTCGCGTAGTCGGTTGTTTGCACAATCTGACACGTAGGTGCGTACTTTGCTCCAGACCCAGCCAAAGTGAATCGTCATGCTCCAGATGCCGGTGTCGTCTGGCGCAGAGCAGCCGACTGTGTCCCGAGGCAATGGGGGAGGCTTCTCGCTATCTCTTTGCAACTCCTTCCCGTTCCCTGAGAAGTAGTCCACCGGACGCCAGATCTCCGAGGGAATGCTCAGCAGTCCGGTCTGCCGACCATAAGACTGTTCTAATAGCTGTAGACTCCAAAATAGCCTCTTCTTGCGCTCCGTGTGGGGGTCTTCAGGGGTATATGCTGACTCCGTGTCAAGCAGAGCAGATCGACAGAGCTGAAATGCAAGTCCGAGGTGAAATCGACCAAGGTGCATATCGCCATCTACTTCAGTCAGTTCTTGGGCGCAGGCTGAACTCTGAAGTCAATTCGGAACACGTACCAATAAATGAAGAATACGCCAGCAAGCACAAACTCTCAATCGTACTCAACTCCACCGTCCCATTCGCAATCCGGAGCATAATCAAACTCTTTGCCGTATCCGCATGGTGCTGCCCGTGTTCCCCCTCATGCGAGAACCGTGCCGTCAGCGCAATGATACTACAGATGAGCTCTTCTGGTAAAGAGTCCAGATCCCCGTGTTCTTCGAAATCAAAGCACCAGACGGGCTGTCGGTGGCAATACTTCATGTACAGATCGACGGCTCGGACAACGGCCAACGAGGAAGGCTGGGGACTGGCATCATCGAAACCAAAATTGGGGGGAGACGGGTCGCTGTAGCTCGAGCCGCGACGAGCCTGAGGCTGGCTATTCCGTGTAAATGTTGTTTCTGTGAGGTCCTTGGCGTCTTCGAGAGCTGAGTCCCTTCCCCGGCTTGGTCTGCGCCAGGCTGAGCAATAGGTCGCAGCAGATCCGGGCAATACATACAAGCTTCCCTTTAGAATGAGGTTCACTTTCTCTTCGAGCTCGGCGAGTCGGTCCTTCTATATCTCATTAGCGCGGCTCATGTCGAGCAAGAGGGTTCGTACAGATTGGCCACCTATTGACCCTGGCTTGGACACGGGTGGGTAGAAACACGACTGATTAAGCCGTACACAGCACGAGCACGCGGGTTTCTCTCCAGGACAACGAGATTTTTTTCTCCTTTTCACCTTCAGTCTCTGACGGTAGAGGATAATAGCAAGGTGCTAACCTGCAATTCAGACACGCGTGGTTGGAACGAAGCCTTCGCCGAGTGCCTTCTGGTGGGGTCATTACTTATTATAGATACGATAATTATAACGAGATGAACTTAAACAAATCAAACGAGTTCGCAAACTGTATCGAGCGAATACTTGAGCAATAGAAGAAGAAGAAGATGATGATGATGATGATGATGACATTCAAGACTCAGGAGCGAGATCAACCGTCCAAGTAAGGGACACAATCGCGCGGGGAACTGGAAATCGAGCATTGACAACAGAAGGCCTGCATGATTGGCCTCGTGATATCGCCCTGATTACTGCGTAGATGAATGGAAAAGCTAAGCTACCAGGGAAGTGTTGTCCATGTCTGGCTAGATCTTCCACAAAGCGTCCTATCAGTGGCAAGGTATGACACAACAATGGCCTATTGGACGGCGGATGGTGCCATAAGAATGCTATCAATAGGCTGTACCAATCAGAAGAGAATAACATGACTATCGTTCGAGTTATGGAAGTTTATGCTGTCCCGCATTCCCCTCTCTCTCTAGCTTGTTTTGCTAGTAGGACGGATATCCCCCGCTCGACTCCTCATGGCAAGACGAATCAGGGAATCCATCTCGGTTTTCTCGATCCTCTAACAGTCCGATAATATGCATCTCTGATGATCTTTGAGGATCAATTACCCTGCCTTCTGCCAATAGAACCCAGTGGGAAGTACGGTTTCTAATGAAGACAAGGGATTAGGATCATCGACACAGCCTGACAGACAGCGGTGATAGGCAAATATATAACTCATTCCTCATATCTAAAGACAATCTCATTACTAGAAATATACGACAAATGCATGAACGCAATTACCACGCAATAGTCGCGGGCGGCTGCACTGGCACACTGGAGCAGCACTCAGTCGCTTGACAACTCAGATTCGAGCAAAACGAGATATCCTTCTCGCTGACGGTCGCATTCTTCGGCAGGCTCTGTCTCGCCGGCCAGATTTCCTGCGTCGCCTTCTGCTCGCGCTCGTAGTGCTCCACCACGAGATCCCGGACCACCTTCTGGAAGTACAGGGGTCCCTTTTCCATTGTGGGGTGCAGCTCGCCGTTGACGAAGACGCCGGCGTTGAGGTTCTTCTGGGTCAGGTCGCAGAGGTACTTGTCCTCGGACATGATGCGCTTGTACATCTGGTTGATCACCTCGAAGTCCTCGTCCGAGGAGTTCTTGTTCCGGTAGACCTCGTACTTCATGATGGATCTGGTGGGCGAGAGGGGGACGAAGCGCTGCATGAAGAAGAAGTGGGGACTTGTACTCAGTTAGTCGGGTTTATGCTTAGTAGGTGCGAGGAATGGAGACTTACGAAACGGTCATGGAGGCATTGGGGAAGTAATATGTGCTGGCGATCTTCAATCCGGCCGCAATCTGCTCGGGCTTGCTGTGCGCATCGTGGATGATGCCGCCGTCCTTGGTGTCGACAGAGTAGGTGCTCAGGTCGGCAATGGACGGAATGTCAGGGTGCGTTGTCGCGCAGTGATAACACTCGTTGTAGTTGTCCGCGAGAATCTTCCAGTTATAGTCGCCCTCCTGCTCCCAAGTGTGGTCGAAGGTGTATTCGTCCCACTTGACATCCGCAAACCGGGGCAGCACATCGATTCCCTTGAAGTCATCCTCCCATGCAATCTCGGGCTTCTCGCCGGCATCAAGGTTGACCCAAATGAAGCCGTTGACGTCGATATGTACGTGGATTGGCAGGAGGCCGTTCTTGCTCTTGTCAAAGCCCTCAAGGTCCTGATATCCCGGGGCCTTGGCCAGCTTGCCGTTTAGTCCGTACGACCACCCGTGGTACTTGCAGGCGAAGATGCGGGCTGTTCCTTTCTCTTCGGTGACAACGGGGAATGCACGGTGGCGGCAGACATTGTGGAAGGCGTTGATGTTTCCGTCGCGGTCCTTGACGAGAACAAATTGAAAGCCGGAGACCTCGTAGCGTAACCAGTCCCCGGTGTTAGGGAGGCGCAGCTTGTGAGTGGTCAGGAGCCACTTGCGAGAGAAAATCGCCCGGCGTTCTAGCTCGAACATCTCCTGAGACGTGTACCATGAGGACGGCAGAGCCCGCATGGCATTCTTCTCGTCATTGGTTGAGGCGGAGGCAAGGCCAAGGTAGTTCCATAAGGAGCCCATTTTGGTGGATGAGATAGAGAAGACCGCTTTCTTTCTTCGAATATAATGACAGGTTGAGGTTGCTTAGAGTGGCTGCTGCTCGGATGGATTTCTTCATCGAAGACAAACAGACTTATATATAGCTGCAACACGTCGTCCAACACTACTTGACTTACTTCATCATCTCGCACTCAGACCTCGATAAGCGGAAACGGTTGGAGAACCGCAGTATCGGAGTGAATGATAGCTATCAGAGACCGAGACGGAGAATTCAACCTACCTGCCGGAGTCTTGTGATACCATCGTGATGCTCTCAGATAGTTGCCACACAATCAACCAGCCTAGAACATCATGAGTGCCTATGATCTTTGGAACGTGCGTACGCTTCTCGTCCGCTTCGAAGGTTCGGACGATGTGAGACGGTGGCGCCGGACACGGTTGAGCTCCACCGTGTGGCCGGTTGGCAGGTGCTAAGTGCTATTTTTGTGGTTAGATCTATGTGAAGTCTAGACATCAGACGTACGACTATAGACTGACATTACCAGAAAAAGGCATGCTATCCCTTTGTCATAGGTGGCCCGATGGAGTTGAACTATGAATGTCTTCCGATGCCGACAGTAATCATAGCCAAGTCGGTACGACGAAGCTGTAAACACTATACCCTAAGCGCTAGATAGTCTAACTATTCCCTATTTTGTCCCGTACTACGGTAGATTCATGTTTCCCAGCTTGGCATGGTGTGTCTTACTCCCTGTAGGAGCTCCAAACCATGCCCTGACTGCTGGAAAGTATACTCTTTGGATTCTTGTTGTTACCTTTCCACATAAACTAAAACCGTCTGCGAATGTTGCTATTCCTCTACCCCAGTCTACGACCCGGCGACGTTTTAGCTGAGCAACAAAAGACACTCGAAGATCATCTTAGGTTGAGGTCAGAGTGAAGTACAGACGCAGCTGCCCAACGTACTCTCTACACAAGGGACCCCGCGAGCTCCACCACACAGATAAGCATAACCCGCACCTGAGACACCCCATAAACAGAAGAGTGCAATTCCACCGCCGATCTGAAAGCAACGCTGCAGCTCCTGTGGGCCCGGCTCGCCAGCCGTGCCAAGACGGTTCGGTTTTGGTTGCCCGATCCGTCCATACAACCCCACACCTCCAATGAGAGACCACAAGTAATAATAGCATCGTTGTCCCTGTGAAGAACTCTATCCTTGCTATCGAATTGATACACCATGGACAAGAACCAACGCATCGCCATCGTCGGCGCGGGCGTCTTCGGCCTCTCGACCGCCCTCAACCTCGCTCAAGATGGCTTCACCGCGATAACAGTTCTGGATAGACACATGCCTCCAGTGCCCGACGGGTCAAGCAACGATATCTCCCGCGTGATCCGATTCGACTACGGCGATCCCGTATACGCAGAGCTGGGCAAGGAAGCGTACGATCTGTGGAACACCAGCCCTGACTATGCGGACTCGTTCCACCGCACGCCGTGTGTGTGGACGGCGCAGAGGACAGGTCCGGCTGGGCTTGTTCAGGCCGGGGGGTCGGATTTCATCCGGAAGACGAAGGAGATCCTGACGAGGATGGGGGCCGAGTGGCATGGGTTGGCGGATGCGGCGGAGCTGAACGCGAGGTTCCCGGCTGTCAGTGGGACGCCGATTGGGGAGGGATTCGAGGGGTTCTATAATAATGCCGCTGGGTGGGCGGATGCAGGCGTCGCGATTGCGGAGCTGAGAGATCGGTGTATTGCTGCTGGGGTGTCGTTTGTGACGGGTCCCCATGGCCAGGTTACGGGGTTGGAGAAGAGCTCGGACGGCACCATTACAGCAGTCAAGACAGCCGATGGCGGACGGATCGCAGCGGACAGGTTCGTCCTGGCGACGGGCGCATGGACAGCTAGTCTGATTCCCTCGTGGAATTCAATGGTGGCAACGGCGCAGATTGTGGGTTTTGTGCGGCTTACACCACAGGAGGTCAAGGCGCTCAAAGATCTGCCTATTATTTTCAATCTCTCCACCGGATTCTTCAGCTTTCCGCCGCACGAAAAGACCGGATATCTCAAGGTCGCCTGCCACAGTTTCGGATACACATTGTCGTCGGATCAGCAAGTATCCTCCCCACCCAGTCGGGCCATCTCTGCCCGGGCAAACTTCATCCCCGCGGAAGGTATGCAGAGACTCCTTGCTGGCCTCAAGGAGATCCTACCTCAGCTGGTGGACAGAGGTTTTGAGAAGACATGCCTGTGCTGGTATAATGAGACGCCGACGGGCGACTTTATCTTCGACTATCACCCTGAGCATCCCAATCTGTTCATTGCTACAGGCGGGACCGGGCAGTATGTACACCACCCAAGTACACAATAAGATACTAACGTTTGGTATAGTGCGTTTAAGTTCCTCCCTAACATTGGACAATATATTGCCAAGTCGTTCCAGAGACAATTGTCCCCGGAGTTGACTGAGAAATGGAGGTTCCATACCGAGTACAAAGACCGTCCTCGGCAAGACATCTTCACTGGGGAGAAGAGCCGGAAGGGAGGAGATGGCAGCCGTGGAGGTCCAGATAGACGGGAATTTACCCCCGAAGAGCGAGACCGTCTGCTGTCTCTTACGAATGCATTGGCTGTAAGACAGGCCAAGATGTAAATACCAGATCAGGCTATATCAATCGTGACATGAATTACGATTGTTCCAGCCATTTTAAGCTCTCGGCTTACAGGTACCACGGATCCCTGTCTATATCAGGCTCCTTTCTATACGCTGAGAAGATATAGAGGATTCTTGTCTTAATTTGAAATCAGACAAAGGCATAATCCTAATAGGAAGACATGAATACTTGCTTATTTACATCCACATCTACCAGGAATAAGCCCAAATAATCAACTAAACATGCAGAAGAGGTCTAGAGCCAGAGGAACATGATAATATTAGCAGTAACTAAGAAGCCGTCTACAGTAACAGGCCACGGGTGAGACTTATAGACACTTAACAGATTGCTTTTTTCGTCTTGTTGGAAAAGATATCCTGATATAAACCTGGGAGAAACTACCCTAGACTAGCAGTCCTAGGAAATACTGGAAGATCCATTCTTAATTGTAATTAGTAATAAGCAAACCCCAGTGCCTAACAAAAGCATGTCACAAAGATCACAGCTTGCGATAAAGAACTGGTGAATATTGCCCCCCATTCCCATTCAGTGCATACACACAGAGCTTGGACCTGGGGCACGCTTTTCATGGTCAAGTTCTTACTCACCACGCTTCTCTGGGACGTAACCGGTGTAGAAGTTTGTCTTTATGGCATGATATTGAGCAGTTGACTATTCCTTAAGATGTTATGCTCATGAGGACTAAGTACAGTGTAGATAGAACATGCTTCAATGAGATCTCTTTACAGGACATAAACCAGTCCCTCTTTAGGGCGCACTGCTCCATTTGAAAGTCGTTCCCATCCCCCGTAGATTCCATTCTCTCCAGCGATGCCCTGTCCCCAGACTAAATGCATGTCTGGGACGGTGGAGACACGGTCTGCTAACCATTCTTTCCACCTGCGCGAGACCTTTCCGAAATATGTTGCAGCCCCCTCCCGGTCGATGACTGTGTCTTGGACGCCAGAGGTGTTGTACTGGATTTTCCCCAATGATTGCATAGCTGCACGAGCTGCCTGGGCTTCCTCTGTTGTATACACCTGGAAAACAGAAGTCAAACGGGAATGCCTCGGATAAAAAATCATAGAGTCCAACCTTCTGTTGACTGCCCACCTGCACAATAACAGTTTTGCATGACCGGAGCGCCGACTCTCGAAGGTTCTGGCATATCTGACTGAGGACATGGTCCCGTGCCCCGCAATCTATAATCACCACCTTTGATGGCTGTAGACCCTCAATCCACCCGGTTGCTCGGTGGATTTCTGTATATTCCAATGCCCGGGACACATCCCCCCAGCCTCTCTTTTCTGCTACCCCCTGCAAAGCACCGGGTGATGAAGTAACCTGTACCAATCCCAGGGCTCCACTTGACCTGGGCCGATCGAAGAGACAACATGAAAAGGAGCGGGCAACCTTGGTTGACGCAGCCAAAACCACTACAACGGCAGATGAGAGATCCGCATCATCCGCGGACCAGCGAAGCTTGCTCGCCGCGCCAAGCGGGTGGACTGGTTCTCGTGCTCGTGGGTCAGGAGAAAACACGTACTCACTCAGCAGGTATCCCGCTACCCAGACCCCTCGGAAGAGCGTACTCCACCCCCTCTCATCCAGCTCCTCTTCCTCTCCGGGGAGTACTTGTTCATAGTGGTTGTATATGGGCATCAGCTGTTGTCTATGGCTGCTAACCTCCACCCAGTGACCCTGAAGATCACCGGGTTCCAAGCGCAGGAGAGTGGGTGTCGTCGAGGTTGGCCAGTATCCCCAGAGGATGGAACCTGGCGTGATTCCAGGTACACTACTCTCGGTGATGGTGGCATATCCCCATGCCGGAACGATGCCCCAGGACGACTGATCGTTGTATGGGGACGGGGCGGTGGGTGGAACCCGATACGTTTTCCACCTGGTGGTTGTCAGTGGCCACGGTAGCTGTGGAGACCAGCGCGCCGGCATACCAGTGCAGTAAATCCCCTCCACGGGCGTAACTGAGGTTGTTGGAAGTCAATCCTAGAAGTATTGGTCGCGCACGGAGCGACGAGAAAGGGAGCTCTTGACCCGGAGACGAAGCAAGTGCCACCACAGCGTGTTGGCGGTTGTCAGCCTTACAGACAACATGGATCATCTCTGGGTTTGTAGCCGGGGATTCCATCCTGAATGAAGATTTGAGACTGTGATGCGATGGGGTTGAGAAAAAAGTTTGCAGGACTGAAAAGCAGGCGGTCTCTTGTTCTCCAGGCAGCCAGGCTTTGCCCTTAGTATTTCTCCTTGTCTGACCCTGACCCCTCAGCTCGTTACCCTCCTTTGGCCGCTGGAGGCGCGGCCGACAATCTCCGTGGTTGCAGTAGTGGAGACTGGAGAGAGAGCGGTCTCAGATTTGCAAGCATATCAGATTTTAGTCGGTCTGGGCGTAAGCGTGTATGACGCAGGAACGAAGCAAAGTCTATGATCTCCTTTGATCCTCCTGCCGCAACAAATTTATACCCATCATGCTCTCTTCCCACTTCTGTAGGGTTACAGCCACACCGGCCACGAGACGATGTCAATACCCTTCTTCTTCCTCAATTTTATCCAATGCACTAGACGAGAACCTCAACGAGCCCGCGACGCCATCCGCCGTAACATCCGTCAAGATCGCAGTTCCTGCCAACGCGCTCTCATGCTCATCAACGGCCATCCGATGAACGTCCGCTGGAGAGCAAGCATGTCCCCATCCCACCGGACAACCCAATAATCAGCTGAATCATACTGTCCATTCTAAGTGCGACTGCCAAACATGTTCGTCGCTCGGCCTGTCGATGGCTGCTCCATGCAGGTACAGATCTACAGCATAGAGGTTGACTAGTAAGCTGAATGCGGCGGGGTCCTCGCGCGCAAGGCTTTCGCACTTAGGTGCGCTTGCAGGCCTACCATGTGGTTATTCTTTATGAACTTCTTCTCAGTAGGCCTCTCACTGGTCCCAAGTAATGAACTTACTGCGGCGCTAAAACAAGTAAACTGAACTGATTTCCCCTTTCCTTTTCTCTTTGAACAAACTCTTGGATCACACCAAGTCCACTCATTGAAATGACGTCTTCATCTGGACCTAGCAGCCCCCTGTCTATTGGTCCTTTTCGATCTCCATCCAATTCATAGAGATGGCCATTCTTATGAGATTTGACAAAGCAGACATAATGAAAATCGACCTCATCCTCAGGGTTCTCAGGGACCTCTGAATCGCCTTGCAGAGCTACTGTCTTATAGGCTGCTTCTAAATCGGCATCATCCTCAATGGCCCGGGCGCGCTCCATTGGATTTAGTGACGCGCATACCTCAAGCAGACGAGATAGGTGAGAGTCTGGAACTAAAGGATACAATTTCCGATGAGTCAGTAGATTATAAACATCAACAGCCCTTCCAAAGACAGGAGAAAAGTGAATTAAAAAGTCATGAGTGGTACATTTCAGGGCTACACGGTTTTTATCCCATTGATCACTATTTTCAAATGTTCTACTTACGGATAAAATCTCTCGCGTCGCCATTGCTAACCGCGTGAAGAATAGCGTAAAGCCCACAGGCATTGTTGATTGTCTGTTTGTACCACATGACATTTTCACCTTCCCCTGTCTTGTAATGATCTGATATTAATCTCCCTTGCTCCTCTAGATTCTTCTCATAGTCGCTTGAAGTTGGAAAAACCAGAACCAGCGCCAGCGCAGGACGTGGGGTAATCGCAAGAAGCTCTGGGTCGTCTACTGACAAGACATCATGAAATGCTAGAATAGGCGACGCGCCTAGTTGATGAATAAGATGCGTGAAGAGTACTGGGTTGGATTCGAGTGGAATGTAGTGTTTTCTGTAGGCCATTTGTTGTATAGGATATCTCTTGTCATCTGAGGTCACAGTCTCATAGATGAATCGATGTTAAGGTGCTGCAACCTCAAAAGGTACGTGGCCTTAGGCCATATACAGTGGTGAATACGGCGGACTATTTGTACAAAAAGGACACATCAAAATTTTACAATCCTTACATATACCCACGCCACAGGTAGGGAACACCACACACCCACAATAGTGATATTGAATACTAATACTATATACTAAGGATTTCGAATACTTAGTAGGGATATCGAATACTATAACGAGCGCCTTGACATTCATTAATAGATAAGACAGTTGCCTTGCAACTATTTTCTCAACAAGAATGGCATCTCACTGAGCATCAGGACCCAGTTCAATCCTAGCCATTTCATCCAGCTGCTCCAAGATCTCTTCCTCAGGACAGGAAGACAGTAGTGCTTTAAACCCCAAAATATTTTGCAATAAAGTTTTCAATAACCTAAGAAGACAGTTTCAAGATGCTCTATCACATTCATCCAGACTGTCAATCATAATAAAAACTAGGCAATCAATTGCTTGCAGCAGCCTTTCCAGGAACTCTTCCTATTTTTTAATACTTATTACTAGATTAAAAATTCCAGAAGCCTGGGCCTGTTTATACCACTAAAAGAATAACTTTTTTAGGCCTAGAAGCTGCTCAAGGAGCAAAAGAATCAGAGCAGAGATAACATAGACAGCCTTACTAGTCTCCTCATCATGGCAATAGTAATAGCATATCTTGGGCTGAGGGAGTTAACACTTATTTCTTAAACTCAGCCTGTCTATAAGAAATGTCATAGCAACAGATTTTCCCCAGCCCATATCGCCAAGGATAACCAACTACTAAGAATCCAGAGCATCATACCAGTTAATGAAAATAGTATTTTTTAGTAAGAATTCACAAGCCTGATCGGCTCTGAGATCCTGCAGGTCAGCATGGTATTAAGTCTGGCGGCTCATCTTGTCGCCGCCTAGCCAGCTAGCAACTAGGGTTAAGTAAGAATGTGTACAAAAGGTTGGATGGAGTGTGTGGGAACTTACTTTCATGATCATAGAGCATGGCTTTGATATCTTCTACAATCTCCCATGTCGCTTTTTGTACGATATTTTGGAGACTAGTGGAATATCTCAAGAAGTCTTGGATAATGTTTGGAAGGTGGTCCGTCTCTAACACTATTTTTAATATCAGCTTTGCTCCTCTCCTGGTTAATATCTTAAATATGACTTTGTAGAACTCTAGGATTTTCTGGTATACTAACATGAGTGCCTGCAAACATTAGAAAGGCTTTAGAAAAGATCACCGCGCCATACCTTGTGAATATCTTTCCTATCCGCTTTCTGGCCGAGCGTGTCGCAATCATCGATATAAGAAATTTGCTCCAGCATTTCTCCAATTTGCTTTGCGAAATTCAAATCAGCAGTTGCAAAGCTGATGGCGATCTGTGTAGATATGAGCCATTATACTTCTGATGTATATTCCCTACTGAGATTCGTATGCATAAAGTCTTTATTAACTGAACTTACTGCAGTCACGCCTCTGACTACACTAAGAACTATTATTGCACTCGGGTCAAGGTTGGTCAGTGAGCTCACCAGATCTAATACTAGCTTAAACCTCTTAAGGGGTACTTGTAAAGAATGCAAATATCTTATGCCTCTCAAGAAGGCAGACTTATTAGTAACATCCTTCTTGATCTCTTCGAGTTCTCTGAACAGCTGGTTGACATCCTTCCCTGTTAAAATAGCAATGTCTATTTCCTCCCCAAGATTTTCAATTGCCTTGTGGTATGCTGCACTCCAAAGGTCTGAAGAAACAATAACACTGCCATTCTCACCACCAAGAGTTGACTGATTGGTATTCAGGTTTCGTTCAAGGCCATTCAAATGAACTTAAGCTTCATCATTCCCAGTGTTGGTCGACTCCCTAGGGGCATTAGTCGCTTGACTGAGAGGCAATGAGCTGGCAGTGCATGTTTCACGCTGAGCGATTGAAGGCGGGCTGCTCGCTCTGGTCAGCAACGTTTTACTGATGAGATGGAATACTAACTTGATAGATATCAGGTAAGAAAAGAAGCTGTCAACCCTTTTGAATTACAGTTCAGCGGAACTCTAAGTTTCAAGCAGCAGGGGCCGTCATTAGTGATCACCCAGCTGCCCCCAGTTATGCGTTGGCATTTCTGTCCGCAATTTTTCCTCCTCTCAACATATCGGACACGGAAACAGGGCACACTTTTTGATGGAAGCGGATACCTAGCGGCGGGACAGCAAGATCTGCCTTGTCCCTGCACAACAATCCTCTCAGAATATTACGACTTCCCTTCCGCTTGCAAACACTTCAACGTTCTCCTACCATGTCGGGTTCTAGATCGCAAAGGGCCTCAGCTGCTGTTAATTTCTTTAGCTTGCCCATCGACGCTCGCAATAATATTTATGAACAAGTGCTCACCGTGCCACACCCACTCTATCTTTTTCAGGACCCGGGATCTCCAATAGAGACTTTTGCGCCCGAAAAACCCGATGAGTGGCTTGCACTGTTATACACCAATCGACAGATATCCAACGAGGTTCTATACGGTACGAATCAGTTCACGCTACAGGAAGCAACGCAGCGCCAAGGCAGCCTCCTAAGATCCTTCTTAAACTGCATCGGCCCCGTGAATGCAGGTTTATTATCCCACCTATGCATCGACTTTCCGGCCACTGAGAGGATAGAGGGTCCATCAGGAGAGATCAGGATCAGAGAAGATAGCTTGCAGATTTTACAACTTCTCCAAAGAGAGTGCACCAACTTGAAAACACTGGAAACCCTCATTTATAGCCAAAATTCCGGCGGCCTGATTAAGGAGGAACTGATCAATACAAAGTTCGTTCGAGAGGTATTGCTGGAAATCAATGCGCAGTTCAGAGGCATCTCTTCCCTGAACAAGATCATTGTCAGGGTTTACAGCGGATCTCCAGCCCCTTCAGTAAGAGATTTTCTACAAGGGCTTGGTTGGGTTGTCTTGCTCGGCGATAGATAGGTCTGCACTGGCGCAGCTGAAGGGGTACTGAGGGGTAGGGGAGGGTAGCCTCTGTTCCACTAGACAACCATTGATTTGAACCAGATTAGTGTAGTGCAGTCCAGTCCAGTCCAGTCTTCTGTATGTGGTTTGGTTTGGACGTATTTATGTGTTTCTGGGAAGAAGGTCGCCATGTCATGAGTTCCTATGTTGGCAGTGATAGTGTCTTCTTGATAGGGAAATGCGTACATGTACGTTGGGGTCATTCCTGGACTGTAACCGTGGAAGATTTCTC